ACACTCTTTTCTCCAAGTTGACTATTAATCAGGCTATTATATTCTGTAATTCCGTCAATCGTGTCGAATTATTGGCCAAGAAGATCACCGAGCTTGGTTTCTCATGCTTCTATATCCATGCTAGGATGTATCAGTCTCATAGAAATCGTGTATTCCATGACTTCCGTAATGGTGCTTGCAGATGTTTGGTATCTTCTGATCTATTCACTCGTGGTATCGATATTGAGAATGTTAATGTGGTTATTAACTTTGATTTCCCTAAGAACTCGGAGACTTATCTACATCGTATTGGTCGTTCTGGCCGTTTTGGTCATTTGGGAATTGCTATTAATATGCTCACTTATGATGATAGGTTCAACCTTTATAGAATTGAGCATGAGTTGGGAACTGAGATCAAGCCCATCCCAAGCCATATCGATGAAGCTCTATATTGCTAAATACGTAGTTAGTAGTCGCCACTAACAAGTCTCAAGATGAGGGGAGTTCAACGGAATGATGATTATGATGCTCCCTATCTATCGGAAAAGGGGTTCCTCTATTTCATTGCTTGTCTATAGTGATGTATGTCTCTTTCGATGACGAGTGGCACTGTGGACGAGGTGCTGCCTCACAGTTGGAAATATTAGCAGTACTTTCAATGTATTGTGTTATAGTCGGGACATACTCAAGACGCTCGCCCGCGTGTGTGGAGGAAGCATCATGATAGCGAAACTGCCACGTTATCACTCATGAGCACTTCGATACATGTGACGGTCGTGAAAAGAATGTTCCAAAAATTCATGATGGTCGGTGGGACTCATTAGTGCCGTATTATTATCGCTCTCGTCACAGGATTCGAGCACTTTATGTGAAATTTCATGAAGACGGTAGTGGAATAATACATTATTATAATCAAGGAGTTTTCCAATGCACTGATCAACTGAGATTTCCACAATAGAACGGATTCACGTTGACAGATCTCTGACATAACGAACTGCTCACCATGACCTTTAGAAGTGGTAACTACCGAGAAAGCGATTCAGTGAGTGAAGCGAGGAAGAGCATTCCTTGAGTCATGCCCCGTACACATTTTGGATTTGAGAGAATCGTTTTTACCCAAATGTGCGAAAATTCGCTATTAGCCCTTACTAGGCTGGCAGAAGTGAAGGATTGTGTGATAGCTCGAATAGTGTCTACCTCATCCCGGAGTATGCATGGAGCGCTGCGGAACATGTTTAAACTGCGCAGAAGCAATGCAGTGTTCCTCCAGTTACTCCACCTCATTGAAAGGATACTGTGTGGGCTCGCATGATGAGAGGTTTTGTACAAGACCATATCGGCCACGTTTACGTCCGAGCCATGTAAAGATAGAAGTTCCACTATGGTACCCTCGGCAACCAGCGGCAGAACCTCACTATTATACAGCAAATGAAGAGCCAACATTATTGTGACGTAGTTAACGTCAAGACACTGCCTCCGAGATATCGGAAAGTCCCACTCGAGAGGTGTAATTAGTCTTCCCATTGCAATGCATCCCATATCAGCGTTCTTTCACTTACGGAGTGCCCAGCTGTAGTTACAATGATATTCCTATTATCACCCCATTAAGTGTCACCCCAACCGACAGCTCATTCATAGCGGAAACTATAGCAAAGTTAGTTGGTATAAGTCTACCTTGAGCCGCTCTAGGATGAGCCCAAATCAGATGCCCAGGCTGACCATGTGTTCGAGGCGAACACAAAAAAGTGCCTTCTGCACCTCACGAGCATGTGAGCCCAACAAACATGTTAACCGTCAAGTTTCGCGCTATAAAATATTTTAAATTCCCTGTGTTTGCCATTTTCACCACCAGCTTACAACACAACGCATACAACACATTTGTAATGTTCCCAACGGAGAGATGTCGCGTACATTGTGCCCATAAAAGTAGACATATACATAGTTATGGATAAGAAGCAATGGAACAAAATGAAGGAACCCCTTTTCCGATAGATAGGGAGCATCATAATCATCATTCCGTTGAACTCCCCTCATCTTGAGACTTGTTAGTGGCGACTACTAACTACGTATTTAGCAATATAGAGCTTCATCGATATGGCTTGGGATGGGCTTGATCTCAGTTCCCAACTCATGCTCAATTCTATAAAGGTTGAACCTATCATCATAAGTGAGCATATTAATAGCAATTCCCAAATGACCAAAACGGCCAGAACGACCAATACGATGTAGATAAGTCTCCGAGTTCTTAGGGAAATCAAAGTTAATAACCACATTAACATTCTCAATATCGATACCACGAGTGAATAGATCAGAAGATACCAAACATCTGCAAGCACCATTACGGAAGTCATGGAATACACGATTTCTATGAGACTGATACATCCTAGCGTGGATATAGAAGCATGAGAAACCGAGCTCGGTGATCTTCTTGGCCAATAATTCGACACGATTGACGGAATTACAGAATATAATAGCCTGATTAATAGTCAACTTGGAGAAAAGAGTGTTTAAGCAATGAACCTTCTGACGTTCCTCAACGAAGCATAGAACTGGGTAACACCCTTTAGAGTGAGTTCTTCCATTAAGTTGATCTCAACAGCATCAGCATATACTTATTCTTGAAATCCAATATGGTAACCGGGAATGTCGCAGAGAACATAAGAATTTGACGCTTCTCCTTGGGTAGGAATCGGACCAATTCTTCAACAACAGGTTGGAATTCGGGTGATAAGAGTTTATCAGCCTCATCCATAACACACATAGTGCAAGTATCACTCAAAGAGCAAACGCCTTTATTGGTAAGATCCAATACACGTCCAGGAGTACCAACAAGGATATGCACCGTATTGTATAAACGCATAATATCATCCCTTAAAGAAGTACCACCAGTAGTGACCATAACTTGAGCATCCATATATTTACCAAGTTCCTTAGCAACAGCAGATGTCTGTAAAGCCAATTCTCTGGTAGGTACGAGGACAAGTCCTTGGATGCCATCAGTGATGTCGGTATTAACCTTCTCCAACATAGGGATAAGGAATGAGGCAGTTTTACCAGTACCATTCTTAGCACGAGCTAGAATATTCTTACCGGCCAAAGCTGGAGGAATAGACTCCTCTTGAATAGGTGAGGGCTTCTCAAAACCCTTCTCAAAGATACCCATAAGCAACTCGCGCTTCAAAAAGTAGTCCTCAAAGTCGTTACCCTTAGTAGCAGTAACATCAGTAGTCTTCACGCGAGTATCAGCAGTGGGACGATGAATCTTCTCTTTCCAATCATCAGAAGTCAACAACTCCTTGGTAGCCTCAGTGACTTCACTGGTTGCCTCTTCAGCTTTAGTAACCTCTTTCTTAACGAGCGGCTTAGTAGATGTGCCAATTTGAGTCGAATTGGCAGTAGACATGATAGGCGCTAGTCGTAAAATAACACGTCGAGTAAACTCTAAACAGGAAAAACTACTCAAAATTATGAAAATGTGGTCAACACTAAGCCTAGCGAATAGATAGAAAACCGTGAATTGCCTCCATAGTCCGTCCGGTCGATTCTCAGCATTGAACGAAATTCACATGGTGAGGAAACACTTATCAGCGACAGGAGCGGCGATTGACAGCTAAACGAAGATTCTCTGCTACTCTCGAGGGTTCGAAGGGTCTGTTCCACTTCTCGACATAGCTAAGAGGCTTGCCTCCTCTGTGCGGGCCACAGAATACTAGCGCGCGCCTGAATGATAGATTTGCCTCGAGAGCAACATCTTGGCGAAAAGTCTGGCAGACAGGGGTACGATCATTTGAGATATTTCACATCCATAATTGGGCCAATTAAATTTGCCATATATTACCATCGCTCATACTAACAATCTTGATCCGCTGGGGTAATTCTCTATTTCAAAGTCAGCGCCATTAACACAATGAAAGGTAACAGTTGTATTCGTATTGGGTAAAGCTCTCTTCATGAGCCAGTGGGTGCACTCACCACATCTTTTAGAGGTCTTTTCGGCTCTTACTAAGAGTGATTACTCCTTTGACCCGAATACAATCAAATCCGCAGCCAAACGATTTCGTCGATGGTAAGTCCAATTGAGACGAAATGTGGCAATGAATTTCGCCGCTCGTGGGGCAGATATGCCAATTAGAGATAGAGGGCTTATCCACAGTAAGAAGCTGTCATTGAATGACCAGATTCTTCTTGGCAATATCATACGTAGCGCTGGAGGACTAGCATGGCATATCTGCCCCAAATGGATTCCGCCTCAGTAAAAGCGGAATTGTTTCCCGTGTTGCGGCTGAGTTGAGTATGCTCGCGAAGGTCATTGTACTACGGAGAAGCTCGGGATGGCATAGGCGCCCCTCTGGATAAATTCGTCGTACTGGGACATCTCTTGGGTGGCATAGTTGCCCCAACCGAGAAATTCATTGTCATAACACATATTGTCGGGATGGCATGATTGTCCCATCAGAGAGATCCCTTGAAAAAATGCATTTCCTAGAGTGGCATAGTTGCCCCACTCGAGAAATTCATTGTTTTAATACATTCCATGGAGGGGCATTTTTACCCCACTGGAGAGACTCTATGTAATAAATCATTTCTTCGAGTAGCATAATTGCCCCACCAGACCAGCCCATTGGAACAAAGCATTTCTTCGAGTGGCATAGTCCCCCCAACTGACCAACCCATTGTAATAAAGCATTTCTTTGAGTGGCATAGTCGCCCCACCTGACCAACCCATTGTAATAAAGCATTTCTTTGAGTGGCATAGTCGCCCCACCTGACCAACCCATTGTAATAAAGCATTTCTTTGAGTGGCATAGTTGCCCCACCCTTTCGATATTATCCTCCACCCCTGCGTTGGGCTCTCTTTCCAACCGAATTCGCGAGTATAATTTCCGTTCGTTTTTTTCCTCAAAATTTCCTTCGAGATTTCATAAGTTCTGATCAACGACGCGCAGCAACATTCGAGATGTCAGCCTCGTCAAGGTCACTCATTCTCTCGCATCGTGCATCAACTCAAGCCCCCACACAAAGAAATTTAGTAGCTCATTCATTAGGCATCAGTGACTCCATGGATCAAGTCATCATCTCCACCATACTCAACAACGCTGGCAGGTATCCTTTCACGTTGCGAAGAGGCTGGAGAACTCTCGCTATCCGAATATACAGCCCGCTGTTGATGAGTCAACCACTTATCCGATACTCGTGGGAGAGGCGCTGGTTTGCTCGCTACCGCGACACGCGCCTGAATCCACACTCATTGGAAAACGCAGTACCGACTTACCTTGGCGAGCCACGAACGGAGAATTACACCGGCATTCGGTGAGTGCAAGTGCTCCTCAGTGAAGTCCTGCTCCGATGATTCATCCGAGCGTGACGAGTCCGTCAGAATCTGCTCCTGCACACAAATTCCATACCAAAACTTGAGCAACACAGCAGTTCACCTCTTCTAAACTCGGTTCATCAATTGCATTATCCTCAATTGCCGTCCGTTCTTCAGGACCAACAGGGCGTTCGTAACCATACTCGGAAATCCATTCTCGCCATCCGAGACCTTCACCATGTGCACGGCGTTGGGCCCACTCAAGCCATCGCAGAATGACTTCTCCCTGTGAATTAGAACGCTGAAAATAGGCCAGCACTTCCTCGAACTCACTTCAGCGCTTTCGATCCTAGGAGGAGTAGCAAGTTGTGAGTAAGGGCTTTCTGCTAAGACCTCCAAGGCACTCCTCGGGCGCCGCGATGCATTTTCTACCCTACCACGATCGCTTATCGGTATGTTGATATTTCGTCTCCAATAATACTCCTGCATAATAGCAAATCGGGGAGCAAATAAAAGTAAGGAAATACACTGCATGTTGAGCAGAGCGTGCAAGTCCGAGTGTAGCGCGAATAGAAGGTCTCCCAAAGTGGCCCATTCCAAAACGGCGACATCTCCCGTTGCCTTCGGTATCTTGAACACTCCATCCATTCCTACTATCAGAAGCCGGCAGCCCACTCATTCGCGATCTCCATGTGAGTGTAGACCGGGCTCATACACAAGCCCCTGCTATTGCGACCATCCACTCCGCAGACTTCACAATGATCTTTCAACTGATGAGCTCTCACTCTAGACGAGGTTCGACGCAGATACAGCAGAAATCTGCTCAAATCAGCGGGGACCGCAACAGCGATCCAACTGCACCCACCTGGCCCTTCTGACCCAAAGTAGACTAAGTTCAATAGCCACTGTTGAGTCATATGCATGCCTACTATTTGCCGCCTTATTGATAGCCTGATGAACTCCCCATCATAACGCTTAACACAGAGAGACAACTCTACCAGAGCATGTCGAGGTGGGGCGTCAAACTGGAATCTATGAGGTTCCTCAGCGAAAGCTGTGCCGGTCAAAATCTGAACCAACTACCGCGGTGTTCAAACTCCTATTCTCCAAAAGCGTCTTCCATAAATGACGCTCTCACCTCGGAAGAACCCGTATAGGATCCCCCTCGAACCTCTCCAACGGCTATTGGATTTTCATCACTGAGAGGGATGTATTTATGAGGATCAACTTCGCCGAGCACATCGGCTAGAGATCTCAACAGGATTCCTCGATATTTCACAAGTGCCTGTGGCATATTTAGTGACAACTCTGTGATAATAGTGCTACCTGGTCTTTCAGAATCTCATCAAAGGAATGCTGTAGCCACAGTTTGTTTTCCTTTAGGAACGCTTGACGATATCGTTCCAAATTAGAAGCATGCGTCTCTGTTGGGCTAGGCTCGGGCTTAGAGGCAAAGAACAGTATTATTATTGATAATCTACTCTATAGATCCCACCCAACAAGCCAGTGCCGACCCAGGTGGTGCTGATATCATCACCCGTGCATCGGGCGCAACCTGCCCTTCTTTTCGGGTGGCGGCAGCTGTCAAGCTCGCCACTGTCGCTGTTGAATGCTTCACTAAAGATTCCTTCACCTGGTGTTGGTAATTCACCAATACACTATGAGCCACAGACTTGCCACAGTTGAAGGTAGTCCGCTGTGGTGATAGTAGCTGCCTGGCCTAGTCTACATGCAGCTATGCTCAGCACAAATACTATTGAAGACGCGGGATCGTCGAATATATTCCAACGAGCCGTCAGAATTATTTGCATACCAATAATCCATATAATCATACCTATACATGATGAACACTCTCGCAAGAGATGCCCTACAGCTTGCCAACCTAAGCCGCTGAGGAAGCAGCAGAAATAATACTGCTCGGAAAAACACATCAAATCCAAACTCCTCAAGTGAGGCGCCACAGAGTCGTCAAGAGGCTCTCCTTTGCCCTTCCACCGATGAGGCCGCGAGGAAAACCGATAATGACAATATCTGCTATGAAGTATTTGCAGCTGGTAAAGTTGCATAAACTTCCAACTTGAAGTAATCCAACAGCTTCCAGCCTTGGAACAACTCCAGTGAATTCAGACATAGAATGTCAGAGATCAGACGAGTGACTGTCAGTATCAACGTAAAGCCAATATAATACGACGTTTGCTCTGATGCTATATTATAACTAAGACCATGCACTGCTGACGCGCGACGTCCACTCAACGCCTACTTTCCCAGGACTTGACTCTCGTCGTAAAGAGAGTAACAGAGGAAAATGGAGACAGGTGATAAGAAAGTGTCCACCAGCTCAGAAGAGTATCTAAAGCACGAACTCACGCTTTTTTGATTTACACCGTACCCTGCTAGAAATCCTATCATATCTTCTACACGCGTATCATATTCTTCAACAGCCTCCTCCATGGACTTTTTCTCATCGATCACTTCACGATTGCCTTTTTCCTCCATCTCCATGGGCTTTCCCAAAGCATCAATAAGGAACTCCTCGAAGACTGGAGCGGTAGCATCTGCAACTATTTCACTATGTGCGGCATCGGTTTCAAAAGAGGCACCTTTAGGCCGCAACCTCGCCTGAACATCGCTCCTATCACCGCCTTTCAACAACCACGTTATCGCCTCGACAACGGAAGTGATGAGAATATATAATTGGTTTAATAAGCCTCCCTTGTTTGGTGATATGTACATACGATCAACAGTCTGGACGGCCAGGACCTGATGCCATGGGCGACTGCTCTATGCAGTGTGGAGGGAAATATGCAAAATATTCGTCACCAACATATGTGGTTGACAATAAGAAAATTTTGTGAGGATCTTGTTGGTTTGTAAACACTTCTACCAAATTCATATATTAACTTCCTGAGCTCAGCTGAGATGATCGAGTATATATCGGATATTCTTTACAAATAACTGAATCATTCGGGGGTATCGGATTAGCGAACAACACCAGAGTCAACTGCTGTAGGCATGCAAAGCACAGGCAGCTATGGTAACGTCACTGGTAGTAGAAATAAACAACAGCATTCCTCGACCAAGTGCAAGTCCGAATTGCCATTTTTGCCAGACTTGAATGATCGCAGAAGAACGCTTACAACGAACTGGGTTAAAATAAAAGTGAAGAAATCCTTGCTGGCCAACACTGCAAGCGAAGACGACAGTCTTAGCACGTTAACAGCAGGCACTAACAGTAGTCTCTCAGCCACGAGTGTGTTCAGGATGACTTCAACGATTATACCTGCGTCAAAACGGTCCAAAATCATGTGGCTGGCTCCCGTGGACTCACTGAGAATATACAGTCCCAACAGCATCAGCCAGAGGTTGCTCATGAAAAATTCCGAGAAGGAAAATTGAAGTACAATCAGCGCCACCACCGCCATAGTAAATTGCATCAAAGCGAAGCACGTTCGCTTCCAAATGTGCGGTATGAAAATAGGCTCATCAGAAGCTGAAGTAAGGAAAAACCATCACTGTGGCATAGTTGATGATATTGCCCATAGATTATTCGATTGCCGGAAATATGAGAGTATTCGCATTCAATGCTTCGAGTACTCTCGTATTGTGGCCAATAAAGACGACTTTGTTCGTAAAAACACTATTAATGTCGCACGGTTCGTTGCTTGAGCTTAATAGCATTATTATTGTCCTTCTCCTTCTCCATTCCCTCGGATGGTTTACGGACCGTAAGAAAATCACTGCGGCATTCAACACTAGAGCGTTACGCAGTTCGCTGTCTTCTAGTCTTCTTTTGCGCCCTACATTTTCATAATCATCACCGACGAGCTCATCGAAATCGTCAAAATCTGAGATGAAAAGTGTAAAAAATTGGATATCCAAGAAACGCAATGTTTACATAAATAATTCCCTTCTGAAAACTGGCTTTTTCATGAGCGATGAAAAGATTCTCCTCGCTTTTCACGAACAAGTTCAGACATACTGTGTGTCCGTTTTTTTCATGGAAATCAAAAAAGTTGACGTCCGAAAGAAAACATTCTTAACGGTATTGGAGTATACGTTTTCTCTTCTCGGCTCAATTCAAGGTTTTCCTCACCACAAATAGGAGTATACAAAAACCAACAAAAACTTTTCCGGAAATTTTCCCAGGATTTTTCTTTTGTGCATTTTCCCACACACTGCTCACCTTCTCCATTCGATTCATCCGCGTAGAATTTAGACTCAGCCGGAGGAAGGAATGCCTGACAGAAGGTATATCACCGAATCGCGAAATACAGAACGACATTCAGCACTAGTCACACAATATAACTCCTACTGAATGATCTGGTCTAGTTACTCTACACCGTTACGCGACGTAATATTTTCAACACCTTCAATTTCTGAGAGTTCGAAAGTCAGCTTTGAGTAATATCAACATGATAACAATGGAGTTTCACCCGTTTTACGTGAAGTGGTGTAATACTCTGCGAAAAACGCGATATTCGCGGTGATATGCAGTAGTCGTGAAATATGTTTTTCATATCACTAGGGTGAAACTCCAGTGTGAACCAAATCGTTTTGCAAAGTAATATTTTCAACCCCTCAATTTTTGAGAAAGTCCACTGTGAATAATATCAACATAATAACAATGTAAATTCATTGACACCGTTTCAGAAGCCTTCCGCAGTCTATAGTTGTACTCTCAAATTGAAAATTGAAGCCCTCTGAAAAATCCAGATATGCATAACTGTTCAGTTCTTAGCGACTGCCAACAGTCAAACTCACATGCTATTTATCAATGTGATAAATCCAAATCCTGTCCCAACGGCAAATACTTGCCTTAACGCTTTGAATTGTTATATACGCTCCCACAGCTAGTAGAACTACTCCTGATCTAGCTCGGCGTCTTTGCTGTGCCGTTGTCGCTGTATCCTGAGGTTCACGTTACTAAGATACAGATTAGGTCCGAAAATGGACACCTTGGTTTCTCCATTCCAGCTGGTGGTAAAACCATCGAAAATACCAATTCGGCAGTTTTCGAGTGCAGTTCCCTCAGGACACTCAAAAAAAGGAAGTGAAAAGGCTCCAACGGTGCCTCGAATGAACATTATAAGGAGCATGAGTATCGGCAAGCACGGCAATGCAGCAAGCACCGCTCCTTTGAACGCAGGTTGGCAGATAAGTCTTACATAACGCGAGTCGGTCAGCTGAAAACCGAAGAGCTCATGTTTTTCTGATGATGATGATTTACCTTAGGAGGGAATTTTATCGAGCTGAAAGTCCAGTTGTAAGCCCAAAACAGGGCCATTACTGCCAGTAGGAGCACTGAGGTTGCGAAGAAGATCAGAACGTAGAAATCTCCAGGGAAAGCAAAGCTGTTCATAACCTAACACGCGAACCACATTGAGCTCAACATGAATAGAAAAATATACATGTGCTGGTCACAATGAGGAATTTTCGAGGAAATTTTGGTAAATTTCCGTTGACGTCTGCACACTTCTACCCTAGATCAAACGCCGACCTCAATAACTGATGAGAAAACTCCCGAGGAAAGTGAACATATATTTTCCAGCACCGTCTTTCATCGATCCAACCTACTCCGATATGGCTCATCCCCTCCCATTGTATCTTTAACGTGTATTCCCAAAGGGCCTCGCCGCTCATTTGCTGTGCTGTTGGATCATCGAACTCCGAATACTCCACTTCCGCCTTGATGAGAACCTACTAGTAAAAGCTCCTTTAATTTTACCCCTTGTTAATCACTTTCTCTTTGGAGGTTTTCTGCCAGTACTTGAGGCTTAACGATACGACTTTCATCAGTTTTCCATCCGAATTCGCGCCCCGTATCAGCACCACAGGAACGGCATCCTAGAATCAGTATAATCTCAATTTCTATTACTTTTGAGTCTCACTTACAGCTGATGGCTCTTCAATGGACGCGTATTCAACAGGAGTGAGAGCTCGTCGGGATATATAGAAAAGTATTGTCCCTGACTTGATCGTTTCTGTCCCTATGAGACTGCTTGGCGGCTACCCGAGCGGCCTTCAAACCATCGAGGCAAGAAGAGTTTCTCATTGGGTATCTCATCCATTACACAAGACAGCTCAACGGGTCCTGTCGCAGCATCATTGCTGGGTCCACAGTAGTCACCACTAGGGAGTGCACCAAAGCTGAGCCGGTCGATGACAACCTGGCGGGATGCCCCAAGTTAGGTGGGCATTTCGAGGTGAGCCCTACAGTGTCCTCCTCAGCCACGATCCGGCAGTTCTGTCCTTGCTCCACAACTTGCCATAGTGGAATCACTCGTCCGAAGCCGCGACAATTCGAGAAAAATGGCAAGTGCGACATCCACACCGTTTTTCTCTTATTGGTGAAGTAGGAACCGGCCCAAAGATACTCATCATAGTCAGCAGGATGCCTCATACAGTTGGTCAGATTACTGTCCCTCGGTAACCAAGACAACGTGGCTTTACTAAGGACGCCGCGTTGTGATGATGCTACCACGCCTGATACTGTCGACTGTCTGCTAAGCTCATCATACTTGACATCGAGATCTGTTGTGAGGCGATTAAGAGCCGCCAGAGGGGTATTGAACGGCAAGGCCACGCCGCTATCATGACGTAGCTCTACCACAAACGCATTGGTCGTTCCCAGTAGATTTCTAGAGGGCTCAAGGACCTCTACTGAGGCAGTTTGTATGTAGCTGAATCTATCAGCCATGACCATACCATTGAGGATCTGCACTTCAATTCGGAACTGGATGTCCACCATGGCGTGAAGGGACAGCTCAATGACTTTCGGCTGACCTGCTGAATCTTGTACGCCTCTGCAGGCAGTCGTTGAGATCGACTGAGTAAAGCCAAAGCCGATACAGAATGGGTCTGTGATGCTCGGACAGAGACTGCCAGACGCCATCATAAACCTCTCGAGAGCAATAGGCATGTCCGCCATAGTGCAATTATGATTCCGTAGATTATCCTCCCGGACATCGGGCAAGCTGTCAAAGTAGACCTCTTTGTCCGAGTACCATCTAGACCAGATTTCCTCGCACATTTGAGAATCGTCGAAATCATGAGGGAGACTATCATTAACGAAAACTCTGACTCGCCAATCTCTGCCATATTCCACTCCAGACGGAAGGCGCCTCAAATCAAGCGTGATGATCGCGCTTGCTCGTGCAGGTAGACTGTAGACTATACGTTCATCTTCGTCATCAATAACGGGGATAATAGTGCCTTGCTGTGATGCGGGTATCGGCCTGGGGATCGATTCCACATTGGCCATAGCTATTGGATTCACGCGTGATACGATAATATCAGCGTTGTCTTCCAGGGAGACGATCGACTTCCGCTTAGTACACATGGCGAGTTCAGACGCGGCGTCCTCAGAAGTCAGAGTCCCAAAAGGGCATCTAGTTATGCTCTGTTTACTCTCACCGTTATCATCAATATCAGTAGCTGTCCTTTCCATCTCTTTCACTAATGCATCTCGGACGTAGTCGATGAACGAGACGGCGAGGCGGTCGAAGTCGTCCCAGTATGGTCCTCCCTCTGGACCAGGGGCACTATTGTCTTGGGAAACCCTGGACCAGTCGATACAGTCAGGCCACGGTGAACAAGATGTACTGCTGAGCTCGTCATCGATGTCGTAGCGAAAAGGAGCGCCATAGGGCTCATCGTAGGGATCAACAGCTCTCGTGAGGCATCTCATCAGATGACCGTCGTTGATTTCTTCGTGACAAAGACAATCCCAAGTTGATCCATTTCTCATTCGAGGGAATGTCTCGTTGAGACATTTGTTAGAGTACTCGTAAGGAGCCTTCCATGGCGTCTGTAAGGCCAGCAGTTGTCTACTGTGCCAATCCTCATCTTCATAGAGAGACTTCGCTACGCCTTCTGCGCCTTCAGCGAGCATAGGAATGTATTCCACTTGGGATTGGACACAGGACGACATGGATGAGGTCCACTGTGACAAACGCGTCTGAACCTCAGCTTCGGGTAATTCATCCAACAGTTCATTGTTAAGACTCTCCGCGTTGATCAGCTCAATTTGCTTGAACTCAGCAGCATGGATCTGTCTCAAACAGTACTGGGCCGCGACTTGCAGGATTAAAAAATCGCTATACTTGATATACGCTGAGTTGGGGCGTAGGGGCACGTCCATGTCCGGTTTCCAACCAGTTCCAGGAGGACAGTAAAATCCTGTCGGACAACGAAAGTTGTATCGATTGGCGTAAGTAGTTCCTTCAGGACAATAAAACTCCTTTAAACACAGCGAGTCGTACACTGAGATTGGGCTCGTTCCGGTCCCGCAGTAGTAGCCATTAAAACAAGGTATTTTCGAGGCAGTCTCTAGCGTAGTGCCTTCACCACATATATAGCCTTCCGGACAGGGGTTAGTTTCGCTCAAATTGCCGGTCTTGGTAAAACAGAAGCGACCTGCAGGGCACGGGTCGCAGCCGGTCTCATCTTCAGTGCCTCTCAGGACTGTCCACGTCCCCGCGTCACAAGGAGTGCAGGAAATACTGCTTTCCGAAGTGTCTCCGGACTCTCCCACAACAACTGGCGTTTCGTCATCAAATACCGAAGCCACGTCGTCACCCGACGACCGTCTGAATGTCCCGGGCGGACATAAAAATAGAGTGCGCGTACCAAAATTCGGGCAACTGTATCCTGGAGGGCACGGATAGCAAATCGGAGAGCTCGGGTTTGGCGCGAATTTTCCGGGAGTGCACATGCGACCTCGCACTCGGGCAACTTCACCAACAAACTCCCCCTCAGGAGCCGGAGAAGGTTCCGACGCTCCAGAAGGACAATACTGGCCCGCTGAGCACAGACTTGTCCCTAGGCTCGAATTGGCTCTAATACTGCAATATGTGCCAGCTAAGCACTGCTGAGGAGCACGAATAGCCAGTGGGTGATTGGCCGATAGGGTAATCGTCTGCAGTTCTCCTTCAGAGTCGCTTTGCAGTAGTCGAACTCCTCCGAGTGAATATGAAGAGATGCGTTCCGTAGATGTCAGCATTCTGATTTGTATAATAGCCTCATCCTGTTCGTCTTCTTCCATGCGTACAAGATCAGCTTTGGGCATATTGGCATACTCGATTGCGGAGTCCGGCAAGGCCTTTCGTCGTGTGACACCGTCGACCCCCGCAACGTCTTCAGCCTCGAGCCGTCGTCTACGTGACGAAGAAGTTTGACCAGAATCAGAAATAACGGTCATGAGATCGGCACACGTCCCTGTGTTACAGAAGGTTCCTTTAGGACAAGGCTCAGGTCCTTTGAAAAAGTACTGTCGCGCTATCTCCAAAAGTATCTTTCGGCGCACTCTCGTTAGATGCACTCGCCATGAAAGACGTAGAGAGTCGTCAGTGAAATTAGCGAGCATTTCGAGACCATCAAAACCAGCAGCTGTACTGTCTCTGATACGGTCCTCCGCGTTGACTTGCCGTACTTTTCCAACCAACATCCATGTTGCTCGAGCCTCATTGACGAGAGGGTTTCTGAGTCCCTCATAATACAAGGCAACGTCAGTCAAGAACTGCAGTACTCTGTCAGAGTCCCAACAGCATAGACCCAACGAGTCATTCCATGTATTAGGAACGACCCCGCCTATGCGTACCAGGCGCGCCCTTTCCCGAGGGACGAAGGCCTGTCCGAGCTCAGACTTGCACGACTCCTCAAGGGAAGAAATGTTCACCGCTGAGTCATACGAGATCGTCGTGCAAATTTTAGGTTCGCTGGTGGTCGCCACACCCCAGCTGCATATTCTGCCAGCCGGGCACAAGTCGTTTCCAGAGTGTGATTTGATTCCTTTTCTCGCAGCCACATAACCACACTCAGCCGGCTTGGGCCGATCCATGAGGGGAAACGGACATACGCCTCCCTCACGACACAATGTGCAGTTGTGCTGGCCGTGATAGGGATTAAATGTCCCCGCAGGACATTCAGTGGGTTCGAATTGCCCAGGCATCGGTCCACATCTGAACCGAGGGGTACACACTATCCCAGCTGAACGAGGGACAGGACAGTACTTCCCAGGTGGGCAAGCACCAGCACCATAAGGCATGGCACTCCCTGGTGGGCAGAAGAAACCTTGTGAGCAAGGTTGTGGGGTACTCAAATTGCCCGGGGACGATCGCAGTGCAAGAGTACCCGGATAACAGTGCAGTCCTCTCGGGCATAGTTTAGGGGCGTTCAGTCCGGCAGTATTGATATTAGGATTATTGGATTCAACAAGAGTGGTCACCACAGGGGCCTCTGAACCCGTGGCAGTTCCTTCTAAGCAAATGAAGCCAGCTGGACAACGCTTGTACGGAGTCATCAGCCCTTCCTCGTCACACACCCATCCAGCTGGGCAAATCACAGGTCTCTCCATCCTCACACGAGGGCAATAATATCCCTTAGGGCATTCAAGGCACTGTCTGCTGCCAACCCTAGGCTGATAGCTTCCTGGAGGGCAGGGCAATGGGTGGCTCAGACCGAATTCCTCGCACATGTGGCCTGCAGGGCATGACCGAATTTGCGATGTGAACGTCAGTTCGCCCGTGTGGTGAGTTGTGAATCCTGGTGGGCTCATACTGTAGAAAGTGAACGTCGCGTAGGAAAGACTCCAGTCGATGCCGTTCAAAGTGATGCGTATCTTAGCTCGCCGATTCAAAGCATCGGCTGTCCTCGCGTCCCACATGTCCGGCACTGGACAAAGGACTTGCGTGCTCGATACCACGACTGGTCGAGCCACTGTAGGGTCCACATGAACCCAATCAAAAGAGCAAAGGAGATTCGAAGTCCTCACAAAGGGCCCACCATTTACCGAGACCAGCCCACCTCCGTGGATGTTGCCCTCTCGCGGTGACACACTGTAAACGGCAACGGGCAAGTGGAACGTGTAGTATCTGAACAGCTATCAATGGACTCCATCAGTGATAACGTATTATATCACCAGTGTGGGAAATTATGCACATGGTAAACTACATGTTCCAGCGAGAATATGGAAATTTTGAGGAAGTTTCGGGGCACTTCTACCCGAATTCGCACAACTCAGCTGAGATAGGCGAACATATATTCCAACACTGTTTGTCGCACTTTAAAGATTTCGGGTCATCGTGACTATCATCGTCAGCGTCCCAGCTATCGATACCATCTGGCGAGAAGTTCTGCCCATTGTTGGATATATACAAGGGAACCCGGAGCTCTCCAGAAGGGGACAACTCGGGACTTTCGACTTGGATTCGAGAGTCGCTCAGCCACATAGCCTTTCTGGTCTTATACGCTACACTCTCGCCGACAGCCGAGATTCCGCCGAACATGACGGTGAGGAAATGAGTGTTAATGAACCCGCCCCCACTCAGGGTAATGTAAGTCGCTTGCCCTTGTGGGCCCATGGATGGCTCCACAAGAGTAATATTAGGTGCAGAATAATAGAGGAACCCTTGTGTAGCGTCCTCAATATCGTGACCGTTGAGGGAAACCATCAAACGGACTTCGCCAGGCTCAGTGGTAGGCGGGGATGTACACACTAGCGAGGAGGAGTCCACGTCTACTGCTGCTGTTACTCTCAATGTCCCGAAAATACAGAAGGCGGTACTCATGGCGGCTTGCCATATGCTTCGCGGTATGGAAAGCGGGTCGGCCGTTCGGATGGTCACTCTAGTGTCACCGGACACTGGTCCGAGAAAAGGATCGAGAATGAACTGTGGCTTGGACGCCATGTAATCGTACACGGTGCCTGAAGGGACTATTCACTCACACATATGAAGTCCTTTACCAATTCCGCTTATGAAATCTCTCCCATTGTTGGCAACGCTGACGACAACAGTATCTTCCGGATGAGGTGGACTCTCGCATACGATAGCACTGGGGGATATGAATCTTCTCACGGTCACCACAGTGGTGCCGAATTTACATGACAGATCCGGGGAGTCAAGGAAATGAGAGCCTCGCAAGAGGACCCGTGTGCCTCCTTCAGTCCCACCGAATGATGGTGACACGGAAGCTACAGTGGCACCAAAGTAATAGGTGAACTGCAAGGGAATGCTTGTTGAAGTCGTGTTGTCAATCACAGTCAGCTCTGAACGGGTCTGATTGTCAGCCGAGAGTGACAAGTTGACCACGCCCGGCGCCCCAACAGACGGAGCGATACAGTTGATGTGATACGGGGATAATTGCTGGGCTACGACCAGCTGTCTTCCAAAACCACAGCTAAGGAGGTCAGTGGTCGGAAAGGGTGCGTCCGAATATAAGTCCACAAGTGTACCACCGCTCCGTGGTCCTGATAGCGGTCTCGCGCTGGTGACAGAAAAACGAACGAATCGATAGTAGAACAGCTGCTGATATAAAGGCATCATGGTGACACTGGTGACACCAGGTGTCGGCCCGAAGTCGAGGGTCAGATCGAGATTCACATATTGCCCTAAAATGGCAACTTCAATCAGACCCTAGTGATAGCGTCCACCTTTGACACTCGGTGATGCAGTTGTGCTCGGTGGAGTAAAGCAGAAGATCGCAGTAGGCGAGACGTAGTGGGCCGTGACGACGGTACGACCAAAGATACAAGACATGCCAGATCCAAGACCATCAGGGACCAAATACAAGTCGAAACCTGAACAATGGAGCACCAGCAGGCTGAGAATGATGACTCCAAGTAGCTCACCTTCACCATAGATAGTAACACGGGTGCCTCCCTCGTGTGGGCCTTCAGCAGGATCAATGTACTTGATACTAGGCGACTTATAGTAGGTAAATTGAGTACTGTTGGTCCAAAGTGTCTCGGAAATCTCCAACGATATACTAGCAACAGCTGTTCTATTGCCGTCCTCAATATGCCAACGGGGGGCGATGCAACTTATCTGAGACGACAACGATTCGAAGCAAAAGGACGAAAACCTGCCACGTACTTCGTGGTCCGATATGGTGGTCGCGGGGACGTCAACCCAGCGGCTAAGTTGATCCGCCCCACCCTCCACCGGCTGGAAGCGACAACTGGTGACTCTCCATGCAGTTGATCCAGAGACTTGCAGTACTATAGGATATCTGGTATCAAATGTTACCATCTTTCCATGGAAAAATCAAACTTCCGTACCCGCCAACCTCGGGTCCTTTAGCCGGTAGAACACCGACGATTTGTGGTGCTAGGAAGACCGCATACAACAGGCCCCAAGCCTGGTCGGCATCGTAAGTGGTCGCCGTGGAGTAGTCGACACCATTCATGGCCACCGCGATGGCCATCTTGAGAGACGAAAGGGCGATGGTGTATCTGAGCCTATATCTGTACGGTAAATGAGAATTCGACCAACCTCGTTTCGGAAGACAACGCAGCAGCCAACAGATCACTTCCACATGCCGCTATGGTCCGATCAATGTAGTCAACGCCGAACTCTGGACCACACATGAGGCGGTTCCAGTCCAACACTCTGGCCGGCACTTGGACATCACAGTCTCGTTGAGACAGCAGGTCCTGACTATAGCAATAGCCATTCGAGGTCAGATGCCATCCTCACTGTCAAGGCGCGTTTAGACAAGTCACCATAGCGCCAGGACACGTTGTAGGCAGCAGTACCCAAAGCACTAGCGTTGACCATCATCGATATCGAGAATCGACACCTGAGCTCTCGATGTTGTCACAGAGTAGAGGTACATTTACACAGCATCAGAATGCATATAGAAGTTGTTGCCAGTGACCAACAGGGCCGCCGAGTCGTGAACATTCTGGAAGATTCCCTGGGTTGGCTCGACGCTCTCTACATTCCACATGTCGACGTAGGTGAAGTTATTGGAGCTCTCTAAGCAACGACCATCATCCTGCATCATGGAAACTCCGACTGTCCAAGTGCTAATTCTCGTTGTGTCTGAGGCGTAAGGTCTTATGCCTACAAGCGGCAAGTACTCATACCATTTCGTTGCAGTGGTGGTACGATGCCTTCGATTTCGGTGACAGTCGCGTTGCCATTCGAGGCCTTGCTGGTCACCGGCATGACTTGATCGCCGACACAAAAGTTGCGGACCAAGAATTCACTGGTGACGACTAACGCGGTGAGTCTTGTGCCTCCAGTGGCCGGGCCAAAGGACGGCCAAATGGATACTATCGAACTCCGCGGAGCATATGTGAAGTTCACTGAGCTAATACAAGGAATAAAGCGATTCAATCTGGACATGTCCCTACGTGAAGCTCCAGTCTCGACCTGCGTTGAAGCTCAATGTCACAGACACTTCGAGACTGTCGTTGCTGTTGCATCCAACAGCACTGGAGTTGCAGTGATAGACAACGGCCGGGGATTCGCACACAACCGAGGTGTTGTCAATGCGGCGGCCCTCGAGTATGTATATATCGAATTTACACAGTACTTCTGGGAAGCCGGGAAATGTTGTATTATCCGGGAAGTTCTTGCCGGACACGACAACGTCGGTTCCCCCTTCATAGAGGCCGACGGCAGGCGAAAGGTTATCCACTCGAGGCATCTGATGACGACGTATTAAACGAGGAATTTTCTGAGGTTGTCACCTGCCGATAGTAGTTGTACTCTAGCCTATGCCGCCCCATAGTGTTGTTACACGGTTGGAGAGGGTTTTCAATGGACCTCGCCACACGTGGGACCAGTTGAACGCAGACGTCCCGCCTTGGGCCGGCCATGGGGGCTGAGCACCACACCTCGTAGCTTCTATTCATCGCATACCCAGCCAGACTGGATTCGTCAGTGAGCCGGAACCTTGCCGGAGATCTGAACGTCCCTATAGCACAGTCGAAGTCCAGACCAAGATCGCGCTCCAGGCCAGAGGAAGAGTTGGCGAAAAACATGACTCTCATTGTGACATTAGTAAGGCCACCAGGCGGACCAGTCCGAGGAACCAAACTGCCCAGGGCTAGATTGGGGAGGTAACTGAATACCAAACCCGGCCCTTGAGCTGTAATGTTAACATGGGTACTGTTGAATGGGCTAAGGAAGACCACTGTGACACTCAACAGGACCGTGTCGAAGAAGTTGTCCGGCATGGCAGGGACCGTGCAGTTGATCGCGGACTCGTTCATCAGTGTGGCTGAGGCCCGCGGCCCGCCTCGACCAAAGTTGACTAGTATCGCAGAGAAGTTGAAAATTGACGGTGGGACGAATTTTCCAGTGAGAACGACTATACCACCACCGTTATGGAAGCTCCAGTCCGGCACGACAGCCTTCAATGATACGTTATGCTTCAGCCAATTCAGAGGTGGTTCCTCAACCGGCATTGTGTAGTTCGAATGCACCAGACGTCGACGACTAGCAACCAAATCAACCCTGTCACGTTGCTGCTGTTGTTGTTGTTGACCACTGAGTTGCCTTCTGGTGGTCCTTTTCCACATATTCCATGAACCATCTACGCACTTCTCGCGTAGTAGGCGGGTCCCATGGCTAATGAGGGCCAAAGGTGTCGTATCGGCAGTGTTGTTACTCGTAGTGATGCTAATGGGAACCTCTGCAACTCCCCGCAGCAGGGGATTCCTGACCTCGTGAATTTGCAGATCGATGCTCTCCAGTTTGCCAACAACCACATGAGCAATTATATCGCTCGAATTAGCGGGGAAAGTCCCCAATCGTTGCTCGAGTTCCACACTGACCACAATGGGTACATTGCACTGGTACGTGCCGCTCGGCATGGTCGTGAGCCGCCCAGGCAAGAGGCCCTCAACCGGCGACAAGACCAACGCACAAGAGTCCTCCCCAGACACCACATTGAGCGCCTCGACTTCCGCGACGAATCGTTTCGGTGGCCCACAGGGTGGTGCCATCTGCAGCACCACAGAGCTGTTCTTGACTATCCTGAGGACTTGGGCCCGCGGTACGATATCGAACCGTAAAACACTGCCAGTGGTGTCCCTTGGTTGGAACTGCTGTGTTCCGTTGATGCTATAGTGGACACTTATAGCAGTAATGTTGGTCGAACTGTCGAGAGTAGGAACCGGACAGTACACTCTCTTGTTCTCTTCGGTTCTGGCAACATTAGGGCTGCCCAAGCTGGGTGAATACTCACACCAGAGGCTATTTGGTGGTAGCATAATAACAGGCAACTCCCTCTGATGGGTGAGTTTCACTTCCCGACTGTCGTTATGCGACATAGGATGAAGAACCCTCGAGGAAGGTTCGAATGCCGTGACCAGAGGTACCTCAAACTGGTCATAGCTAGTGGCTGGATAAACCACCGTTGAGGCTTCCTCATGAGGTCGCCAGTTAACTGCCGGTTGCACTGACGTATCGTACAGTATTGTCAGTCTACTGTCAACGCCAGGAGACTGGCCTTGGCCCGGGGTCGGACACGATATTGTGCTCTCATTGATCCGAACCGCTCGAGTGTAATCGAGTCCTTCAAAGTGACACAATAGACCAACATATTCTTCCATAGGGAAACTCCGACCATAAACCATCACTTCAAGGTCGACCCCAGCGAGGCCCCATCTAGACGAGGAACCCGAAATTGTGAAAACCTCGTTAGTCAAGAGTGGCAGTGGACTCCCTTGGGACAGACGGGCCAACTCACTTCCTGTCTCTGAGTGCATAGCGACAATATGAACACTTTGGATGTACTCGTACCGACTGTAATTGTACGGTAATAAGCACTCGAGCTCCGTGAAATCGCCGTTTAAATGGCCCTCGACAAGCACGTCAACTTGGGGCCCAGCAATTCGCTGAAAGGCGCACCCGATCGTCCAGTGGCCCACATAGGGTTTGAAAGGTCCAGACACGACCAGGATGGTTTCGAGCCCATAGCCGCTGTCTACTATGGGCAAGGCCCTGTTAGGCATGGACACAGGAAAGTTGACCACGGTTTGAGATGTGAGATTTGCATCGTATACGCGTACTGTCTTTGGAACTCGCGATTGCCACCCTTCATATCGTATGTACCAAAGACCATTCTTGGCAACTATTTCAGCCAATAGCAAATCCACATTAGCGATCAACGGTAGAGAACAGGTCACTTGCGAGTGACTCAGCATAGTGCCTTGGTTTTCTGTGGTATTCCCAGTGAGGACATCTCGCCATTTACAAGTGACTTCAGGGTCGTCTATAGCCGGCGGCATCACAGACCATTCGATATCAACCAGCACTAGAGCGTCATGAGGCTGTATTGGGTGTTGCAGTGTGTAGCTAGCGTCCATGAGGACAAGACTTGTGACGGACTGACTAGCCCCGAGAAGAAGGCACAGGAGACCCTCATTGAGCATTGATTCAAGCTCTACGAGTTGCGCATGTTTTGGTATGCGATTCGTATAAGTGAATTGAGTAACGCAACCGAAGGCATTGAGTCACAGTAGCATTATCATGACGTCAGAGTAACCAATTCAAAGCTAGATGGGAAAATATGCTCGGGCTCGTCATGTGGTGCGCCCTTGACGATAGATGATACTAATTGTGGTAGAAGTGTACAGAAGGCAATAAAATGACCTCAGAATTCGCATAATATCACCAACCATGTGCATATTTTCTCACTAAACGTAACACGATAATGTGGACACTGGTAACAGTAACAACAACAATGTAGACATGAAAGTACACCCTACACTGGACTCAACATTCTTTCTTTGCCAAAGCTCAACGAACGCACCTGAACGATTATACACAAGTCTCAAGGTGGAGCAGATTACCCGACGGATAAGAACGATTATAGCGAAGACCTGAGAAGCTACACTAAAGTTGCCAACTAGCTATAGACGTACAATTGCAATGAACACAACCACCGTGGACTGCTTCATGGCCACCCTGGGGCTGTTGACCATGTTAGTAGAGGAAATGCGATTGGTATTGGCGACAGTAGGCGCGGTTCTCGGGAAACCAGGAGAATTCTGAGATGGAGACTTCGCGATGATTTACCCGACATGGATAAAACCACCCGTTTTTGGTTGTTGTCATCGTAGGCTGTGATGCGGGAATTTACTCGGGCCTTCTTGTCCTCGTCCTGGACCACCCCAACGGACCGAGAGGGCGTGGTCTCGGATGAGGGTCGATCTGATAAAATGTGTGGTCGAAGAGTATATATGTAATCGCTTCCCTCAGCTGAGCTTGGGAGTTTCCAAAGCTAATTTATATACGAACTCAGGCGGAAGTTTTCAGAGAGCAATCGAAAATTTCGCCAAATTTCCTCATATTTTTCACCAAATTATCAACAACACATGTAGTTGACCATGTGCATATTTCTCGTACGGTATACGACGGTCGAATGTCATAAAGGAAACTCCTTGATGGCACTCGTGAACTTAGCTTGGTTCTCTAAGTGTGGGTCACGACAGGATGCAAAACTCACCGTAGCGTTGATCGTGCGCTTGGTCCCAGGGATGGTCTTCCGCACTAGGCAACCAATGATGGTCCTCTCTCGAATGTGACCAGTGTTGATCATGGTCCTCCCAAGGGTGGCCCTCCTTCTCATGCCACCAGTAATGATCCTCTGCCCTGTGGTCCCAAGAGTGGTATTCTGGTCTGTCACCCTCATGGCTGTGTGTATTGTCATTGCCCCCATCCCACCAATGGGTTGCTGCTTCACCCCCCACACCGTGATCTAGTTCCCACTCGCTGGGGTCGAAGGACTCCTCAGTGTGGCGACGATAAAGCCCTTGGACGTACTCATGACCACCATCATCATGTTTCAAGTGCTCTATGATTCCAGGATGGTAAAATTCAACCTCTTTTAAGACCTCTTCAAACTCCCTCGAGTGGCCGATACTGTCCAGAAGCCTCAATAGCTCAGCAAGATCCTCCGTGTGGTGCTCTCCAGGATGGTGTTCGTGTGATTCAGGAAAGAGAATACGGCGGAAGAGGTCGAAGGCGGCCTCTTCCAGATCGCCATGACCATGGTGGCCCTTGTGGGCCGAGGGGCCATCTGAGGGGTCTTCTTCACGATAAGGTCGGCCTGGTTCGCGAGGCATTTTCAATGGGGCCTGTGGAAGTTATCGACTTATCATTTCTACTAGGTTATCGATCACAATGGCGAGCGCGAAAAATCATGCTTCGAAGTTCAGGTTTGGTTGTATTCGCGCGCGCCCAGCTGATCGATTATGAGCGGTGGAATATACCGACCTTGCCTGATCTGTCGGTGTTGCTACAATGGCGCCTACATCGAGTACCAGAGCGGCGGCCTCTTTTAGTAGTGGATCTACGCCTGCGGACTTCGTAAAGGAGTGCATCACGAGGTCTTCCTTCGTTGGAGCCTTGAGGGAGGCCAATACTCTGAGGAGGCTGCGGCCACTCACTGCTGATGAGGTCGGTCTTGACCACTAGAGAGCAACGAACGACTTGGCATGTACTCAGATAGCAGCACTACAAGGCTCAGGGTGTACTGCTGAGGACTGGGGCGAAATTATGGTGATTGGTGACTCCCCCCTAGCTGTTGGCAAGATTAGGGGGTGTACATTCCAAGGTAGAATTGAACTTGCAGTTGAGGAAGGGTCGAAGGTACTCGAAACTGGGTAGTTAGTTTTGAGTTTTACGGTATAGGTGAGTATTGGTGATAGTCGCCGTCAACTTCCATGTGGGATCGTTAACAGCTTCTTAGAAGACGTCACAGTAGAGTCCGGCACTTTAGTAAAGGACTGCGGCCTCGTTGCCAACACTGTTGTACGGCGAGGTAGACCCCTACTCATCATAGGTGTCTATAGTGCCTCTTTAGGTGCTGTTCTTGTGCGTTGTAGTGTGGTAGAAGGGTCAACAGAGTCCCACTGTAAATATGGTAATGGCCATAGTATGTCTCTGGCTGAGGAGACAGGGAGTCGCCGTACTCGTCAGTTCGCTGAGCTTACTATCGAAATAGCAGCTAAGGTTAGTTTAGCAGCTGTGGTTAGGAGCTATGTGGTGATAGGTGGTCTCGAACAGGAAGGAATCTGATGCATATCATGCGGCCGTGGATGCATACGTTGACGCAGTTGAAGATGCTGGGCAAGGGCGGACGATCATCGATGAGAACGCTGAGGTGGGTCGTGATGATTCGCTCGAGGAGTGGTATGGGCATTTAGGTTATATCGTGTTGTTCTATCAAAGGCAGCTATATTGGCCGCCACGTGCGCGTTGTGAATTCGAGAGTTCATAACTCTTCCTTACTTGACTTCAACATCGTCGAAGACTGCAGTCTTAACACTGCTATTCTCCAGAAAAGTGATGTTGACACTGCGTGGACTATTCTGTACTTTATTCTTTCCTTTTTAGGCGCCAGTGTAGCGACTTTCGGTGTGGTAGAAGGGTCAGTACTCTGTCCGACAGTCCACGTTGAACGGCATGGGAAAGTGTTCGACTCCATCATCGGGCCGGGCTCTGGAGTGGCCGAGGTGTGGTATCGAATATTATCTATATTTTATATAATGTCTTCAGGGGGAGGTAACGGCGTCTTTGGTCGGTCCCTTCGTAGGCTTCCATCATCAAGCACTACTAATAGCGTGTTTTTGGCCTGCTGGTAGGGGCAATGTTGGACATGGTGCTAACGTTGGTTCGAACCACACTGGGAAGGCGCCCGACCAGGAGAACTGGCCAGGCGAGGGCACGTTCTTCGGGCTGGCTTCAAATATAAAGTATCCCTTTCATTTGGTGGACGCGCCTTATTCACTTATTGCTACTGGAGTGAGCTGTTTGCCGCAAGCGATAGGGGTGGGTCTGGGCAGGATGTGAAAGAAATGTGGTATGAAATTGTTAATTTTAGTTGCCGTTTAGTCTGGTGAACGAATCGAGTGAGTATATCAACGGCTTGTCTCCCGCGATTAATGAAATAACTCCGGGGTGGATGCTGAGTGACAACATGTACTCTCTCTTCCGGAATGAAGCCAAGTTCGAATCCCGGCAGAGGAATCTTTCTAAAGATGGCGTTATGTAAGTAGCAGTGAGAGATTGTCCATGACTATGCACTCAGTTAAGGTATCAGTTTGCTGTGTTCCGTCCGGAGATAATGGACAGAGTAGTGAAGGCTCGTGATGCACTGAAGGCAGCAGACCCTAAAGACGCTAAGTTGAAGGACGCTAAGGGTCGAGCAGTTTTCACAGGTAACTTTTCGAAGACTTTTGTCGTGGATGGTATTGGATTATGGTTTTTCTCGAGATGGGAGTATAGCATTTAACCGTATCGTGATGGTAGATTTTGGTGGTGTAATTTGTGTGAATATGGGGTATCTTGTAGAGCTATTGCAACCTGTGGCATATGTGCCCCGAATTTTTGAATCGTTGGGGAACTTATCCTGTGTGGATGGCCATAGTGGTACTTGATTAAATGATGGCATATTTCGGACAGTTACGGTATGGGATTGTGTGGGTTTTATTTAGATAAGGAGATTCCTATAATGGGTAAGAACTGGATGAACGACTCTACTAGATTGATAGCCATCAAGACCTATTCTACCTTCCTCCAATGGTAATACTTGGTACACTATTCTTATCCTAAGTGAGCTAGTATAACTATGGTGATGTATGTCTGACTCGTAAAGCACCTCGACGCTCTTTACTAGACTTTTGGAGCATGCCCAATGATATGGGATTATTATTGCAAATATCGAGAATTGTGAACAAGCAACTCTGTATCAGGTATGCTATCAGAGGTCTATGGCGAAGGCTAGCGTCGATACATTTCGAGTCGGGGCACGCATGCTCTGACGAAGCTGCTAAGCTGGTGAGCTTTCATCATTTCTGAAAGAAGGACAAGGTTTTGTTAGGTTTCCAGCACTATAGCATATTTGAAGTCGCCCCCAGTCGTGGATCTTAGTCCGGTTTATGAGAACCTTACTGCGTGCGCATTCACTGATGAGGCATCTCAAGCTGAGCTGAGGGAACTGCAATGGGCACATGAATGCAAGGTCAGTTGGGCTTGGAAATTAACAATCGGATGGTCAGCTATTTCCACTGAAAATATGCACATAGCCAGCTGTGTGCTGGTGACGAATTTCCATAAACTGTCGAAAGTTTCCGCATACGTGCTCAAAATTTTCATATTTGGTAAAGAACTTTCGAGCTCAGCTGAGGAGAGCGAACATTCTGTTTGATTTAGCAGTTTTCGTAAGTTAGGTTCTCCGGACTGAATGCGAAGACCCACTGAACGTTGCAGCACTACTCAGGTGGTTCGGAGAAACCAATCAGGAGATTGCGCAGGTGAGTGGAAGAAAGGTTATTGTTTGTGATGGTCGCGGGTTCGATTCTTGGCAGAGGCTATTTTCGAGCTATTTTGCTTTATAACATGATGATGATTTTCTGCGGGATGTATGAAGTGTGAATCGGTGTAGTCGTAAAAGAGTTCAAAGAGAAATGTCCCCTGTTTCGATCCTGTTAGTCGTGTATAACGGCCAAGGCTCGCGATGACGCACGAGGGGCGCGGATAATTGGTAATAGTTTTACGGAGGCGCACGAATCCGCTGAGGAGAATCAGGTAGCATATTAGTTTTAAAAATGCAGGGGTAAGTTCTGCTCAGGTTTGTAAGAACGCTGTGGCGGAGGCCAATCGAGTTGAAGAGGAAATTGAAAACTTTCTTGCGACTTCTAAGCTGTAGTAGCATATTCCCGCGCGCATCACCTTCTTATGCCGGTCTGGAGATTTGATAGGCATGGGACTCAACACATGAGGAAGGCCACGTCTCAAATCCATGTTGATTTTTTTCGTCTCGAACACAGCGGAGCGAAGTGTTCCACGATGTGCATTTATAGTTTTTATCACTCACTGTGTGTGTATGTGCATGGAAATATTTTCGTATGGCATCAACATGCACTCAGACCTTTCTTAGGTGGGAGCTTATGCGCCATCAGCTGTGATGAGATTGATCACTGAGCACTTTGACTTTTTTCTGAATTGTTGTTTCTCTCCTTATATGCAGTAATAGTTTTTGTCGTTGGTGGTGTGATTCGAACTCGGGTGCTGCTGCAACAGCATATTCATTGGTTGTATACTACTATGTCTGACAGCGAAGCCCCTTCTACCACTACTACACTCTACGTCTCCCCTATTGCTGATCCTCTTATGGGAGGCAAGTTGAATGCTCGCGCTATGAAACTCGTCAAGAAAGGTAATCAATGCTAAGTTAGTGTGGTCACTAGCGTGATGCTGATCAGCTGCTACGTCAAAGTGTATTCGCCGCGGCGTGCCTGAGGTCCTTAAGGCTGTTAGGAAGGGTGAGTAGGGGGGAATATGCGTATGGTCAACTACATGTGTTGGTGACAATATGGAAATTCTGAGAGGAAATTTGGGAATTTCTCGTTGGTTTCTGAATAGCTGTGCCGAAATTCGTGTGCCGAGCTTAGCTTAGGAAATTATATATTTCTTCAACACTCGTTGGAAAATTATGATGCAATTTGTAGGTCAAAAGGGTATGATACTACTGGCCGCTGACGTGTACCCGGTCGATGTCATTTCCCATGTGCCAGCTTATTGCGAGAAGAATGGTATCGCCTACGCGTACGTCCCGTCGAGGCAGGTGTTGGGTAAGCGAGAGGTCGTGGGTTCGATCCCTGGATGGGGTATTTTTAGGTACTGCTTGCCAGACTAAGAGAGCTGCATCTGTGGTGTTGGTCGTCGAGCCTAAGGACGACTCTACTTACACCAAGACTTACGAGCAGGTACTAAGTTTTCTCGGATTTTACCGCGCGCCACGAAATTATGGTCGCAGGTTCACAAGGGAATCTTGGCTATCAACCCCTACTTGTAAAGATGCGGATGAGGGAGAACGTTATATTGAGATAGTTAGCGAAGTTGGTATCAACCACTTGAATAACGCTTTCTACCATTTTCAAGGGGTGTCGCGTTAAAATGATAGTTTAAAAGGAGGTCGACGTGAACCCGACGGGACGCCACCGCAGCAGCAGTCACGGTGGAGGGCGATCGGGTGATGCGTTTTTAACAGAGAATCTGACATTCAGCTCTCAGTGAGAGCTTGTTATGCCGGTCTGGAGAGTTGATAGACATGGGACTCAACACATGAGGAAGGGCACGTCTCAAATGATTTGATACGCCTTCCTCACGTGTTGAGTCCGAAAAAAATCAACATGGATTTGAGTCAAATCCATGTTGATTTTTTTCGTCTCGAGTACAGCGGAGCGAAGTGTTACACGATGTGCATCACTGCTGTACGAGACCAAACAACTTGGCCGAACAATGAAGTACTGTCCATGGTGACTTTATTCTCAGCAGTTGGAGATACTAATCTAGCAAGCAACTCTACTGTGTTAGACTACATCTGGTACACGGATGGTAGCTGCAGTGGTGTTGTCACTCATACTCTGCCGAACACCGCAATCGTTTTCCGTGGAAAAAATGTTTTTCGCGTTCATCATTTCACGTGCATTAAACACGTGAGTTTCATCGTGTAAACCACGCGATAGTCGCGAAGCTCTCAGAGTTCCTCCAATATATACAGAATTAGATTTATCTAACTCACGACCACTCTGCAAACAACCATGTACACTACCCGGATCGTAGATCAATTCACTACTACGAGCATGGTCTCGACTGCCCCGGGGTGATTTTTTCGCTCGCCCTGATTTTTCAGTAACCGTTTCGAATCAACTGTACCCTGTTGAAGTTTCAGCTCTAAACTCCCCTTAGTTGACGAGAAACGAAAAATTTTGGAATTTGCCTAAGAAAAATGCACGCTCCTTAGTGTATGAACATGCAAAGTTAACTTGACGAATTTGCATTGCTTGCGTACGTCACCCTAGAGTCTCCGGGGTTGAATATTTCGAGTAACACCCGCTGGTGGTTTCTCACTATAACCATATACGCTATCTCCATGCAGGACTTATAAGGTCTATGAAGACACTCTAATACGCGACGAAGTTGACTTCGACGAAGTCACTCTGTGCTTGAAGTTAGCACTGCAAACTTTAGTAAACGCAAAATGCGGTTTCCGACGAGTTGGGTTTTCACTGTGATTTTCATATCCATTGAATGATCCCTCTTGATCGCTGCACTGTAGCTGCCCTCGCATCCCGATAAAAGGCACAGTTCCGATTCGAACACATTAACCCAACTTGTGTAGTTTCAACTCACACAAACACAACATTGAAACAGAAACCAAACTATGGCGTTTTGTAAAATTGTATTCAATCATCATCAGACGTTTTCATCAGCACCGTCGTATTGTCTTCTCTCGTCAAGAGGAGTTCACTTCTGCTTCTCCAGATCACTCTACACCGACACTCATCCGTGCCTCCCCTCTGGATGTGTTGTAGCTGCCGCGTTAATAACAGCTTTCCAGCGACTCTCAAAATGCCCCCGAAAAATCCCGTGGAACCACACTGGTCAATTCTCAAGGTCGCATCTTGAGCTGAATAAGACGCCAACTGCGCTCCTGTTGGGTCGAATGCAATCGCCGAGATATCTCCTGAATGCCCCTCGAAAACTCTCCACTTGCTCGCTGTACGTAGATCATAGACAATAATAACAGCATCTTTAGCGACGGCGAAGCGTTGTGTTGATTGATCGAAAGAAGTGTTCGGGAAGGTCTTCACCATCTCGTGGAGAGCCGACGTTGCCGTTATGAGGCAATTGCGTCGTCGAAGCGGGAAGACTGGGTCCAGACACCGCAGCACTGCGGCCTCCGCAAACTCCGGTACAAGCCGTCTTAACCGTTGGGGATACTTGTGCAGTAGTGATAGCAATATCAACAACGCGGTTGTACCATCATCACCTTCGACCGCCAAATCAGAAAAGGTGCTTATAAATTCAAGCGGATCATGCAAACCAGCTCTGAGTAGTATTTGAAGGCACATGTTGGCTCTACGCGGTTCGGCATTGTAAACACGGTATGTCTCCACCAGCATCGACTTGCGTCTCTCAGGCCTCCAAACTCTCGCCACCAAACGTGTATACCCTCGAATGAGAGTCTCCGCTGCTACGCTGTCGCCCTCACTAAGAGCTGCTTGCAGAAGCCGATGGCCAACCTCAGCCGCCCTTTGCTGCTGACCGTCGCTGAGCATCATCTCAGTGAAAATAGTCGGCGCAACATCAGCACAAACACCGAGGAAATATATACATTTAATTTCACTGAAATCGAGTGAAAGGCTGCGGCATAAGGACAGAACTCTGCCACGACATTCGTTACAATGATCGATCGTGTCAAACTCCAGGATCCTCAATAAGCCTCTGAGATCTGCCAGAAGCGCACTAGATGCCCTCTTGCTCGACCCTGCGACCAGGCCTTCTTGACATACCCAGATCGCATCACCGAAATATGGGCACATATGCGGACCGTTCAAGAGGAAGTCAACAACCGCATTGTAACATGTGTGAACTTGTGGCTTCAACGCATTGCAATTCGACATACTCTTCATCACCCTCCTCGGGAAAATGCTGCTCTCAGACCTCCGCAGACGCCTATGTCGACTATTCTGCTGTCGTTCTTTCTGAGACCGATACTTCGCCCTGAGGTCCAGAGGGGCATTCGGATGCACGGTACACCGGCGCGTCAACTCTGAATATTTCCTCCTCCTCCTCCTGCTGGTGCTGGTTTCCTCAACAGTAATCTCCAGCACTTGTTGGTGACCATCGACAGCGCCTCGAACCTCCCCATCAACACTCAGCCACCCCTCGTCACTTCGCAGACCAACATAGCAGTGCTTCTCCTTCAGCAGTGCCTTGATAGTGGCCTCCTCAGTGGAGCTCCTCAGTGTCTTCAGCCCAGCACCAGGAACAGCGGCGGTGAGCTCAAAGCCGTAGGGGTCTGTCTGTGTCAAGGTGAACGCCCCTGCGGTCACAGTAGGAGCGGCAAGATACCTTCATGAAATCATGGAAACTGCCGAGACTAATCATGAGCAGTGTTACAAGAATATATGTTCGCTGAATTCAGAAGTTTCTAAGAGACGAATTCTGATGCAAAAACCTAGCAGAATTTTCATGTTGACAGCCAAAACATGTAGTTGACCATGTTTATATCTACTCTCGAGTTCGGGTAGAAATCTTCGAAAACCAACGAAAATTTTCCAACACAGTTGAATGCATATTCCCCCCCCCCTACACGATTTGATAGTTTCAAATTTGACTTCAGAAAAGCCACAAACTCTCTCTCTCACCTGTCCATGCCCCGAGGCCAACCCTCGTCACTTTCCCATTGCCACTCCTTCTCTCCAGTGGCCACCACCCACACTTCGTTGTGAACGGGTTGCTCATGCCTCGACTGAGAACAGCTGAACAACACCGACATGTACTCGTCCGCTGCATCCAGCTCTGATAATCTGAGTTATCAACAATCGCTCTCATCACTAGTGAAAATTCCTATTCACTTTGTATCAGACGTAGGCTGGAGCTCCACCACAACGCCATAAACCATGCCAGGCTGATACGATGGGCTTTGTAATCTGAAAAGAATCACGAAAAGTCTTGAGGAGTTCGAATGATTTCAACTATCGCGGCGAACTCAAACTACCTATTCGAGCTCTGATACTATCAGTGAAATTTCAAAAATGATCGAACTCAGTGATATGGAAGAAAATCGACAAGTGAATTTCGAGTACTCAAAATCCTTGACAAATTTGACTTTTTTCAACACATAGGTTCTCATACTATCAGGGGAGTTTCACCACCACCCTAGTGATATGGAAAACATATTTCACGACTACTGCATATCACCGCGAATTTCGCGTTTTTCACCGAGTTTTACGACGCCACTTCACGTAAAACTCCAGTGTTGTTGTTGTTGAATCATTTCATCCTGTGTAAACCGCGACCTGATGATCTCCCTGAGGCCCTCCACGAGACCATGTTGAGCGACATCAGCCTTCACCACTCTGACAGCAGTCGTGTCATCCATAGCAGCAAGAACCAGCGGCTCGGCATCGGCCGTGCTGATGTATTCCCTTGAGAAAGCCGACATAACTGCACACCGACGCACATCTACGATCTTCCCGAAGGGGGAAAGGGACGGTATGGAGCACACTGGAGCTCCTGAAAAGGCGACTAGAAATGTCACTCGAGTGGTATATAGAACATATAAGTGAGAGTTTGAATATTGCTATTATTATCAATTTCTAATATCGCCTTTATCACAACCCCTCGTTAGCTTTCGCGGTGGTTGTTGGGGAATTACTCCTCAAAAACGGTATCATCGATGAATACTTGCGTTACTCGTAAACGTCCAGGTTCAAGAAGCAATATAGAAATAATTCACCACTCAGTGGTAGTTGCTGCTGTGGTGACAGTTTGTTATTAGTAGTGTATAAATGAAGTTCAATCACTTCGCTGGGAGAAGTTCTGATTTTCGCGTTTTTATGGTCGCGTTGAAATACACGTTTTCATTCCCCTTCTGAGCTCAGCAATTTCTACACCACAGAAATCAACGAATCTTAGTGGTGTAGCTTCAGAAAAAATTCCTCAATTTTTTATATACAAAATTTTTGGGATTTTTCCCAATTACGATTTACACATTTTTTCTCACCTGTGCAAAAATGTCCTCCAATATTCCACAGTAGAACCGCTCCCTCGTCGGTGCCCCCAACCAGAACGCCGGGCACACCACTGACCGCGCCCATAAATGAAAATCGTTGATGCTCAATACCGTATAATACAACATCAACATCATCATCGAACTTTCCCATTCGCCTCCCCAGTGCTTTCTCTCCCGAAATCGCCACTATTTTCCATACCGTATGTTGTCGGTCCAGAATCCAACACCCTAGGAATGCTTCGTTGTACTCAGGAGTTTGCATATACAAGTAAGGATGAATACTACACCCTCCTCCTCCTCCTAGGAGATCATAGTATAGTAATTTATTCGGAGTAGCCGTCACCACATAGCCTCTAGTTCCAACAGGAAGTACCTCCACAGTGCACTCCGGCAAAGTGAGATCGGTCGTTTTACATCCTGTGGGTTTAACGAGCATACAACAACCGCTTTTAGTATACGCAAACACATCATCATTGTCACTCTGCACAAACAGGCCTTCTGGCGGTCCAGTGTTGAGCGCTACAGTGACCACCGCATCGCCGCTGATTCCCGACCACAGACAGGCCTTGTCGAATCCAAGTAGAGCAGCAACACCAGTTTTATATACAACTAGCTGTTGACATTTCCCGACGAGCTCAGTAGTAGCAGAGTTATCGAGTAATAAGGGGCAACCAACTCGCCAGACGATGAGGTGGCGATCAGTGGCCAGACACAGACCCAATGAGCAGTCCTTAGAGCTTCCAGCAGCAGCATAGAGTATCACCTCGCCGATACAGGGCATTTCGAGGAGGTGTGGTACGGTTGAAAAAACACCATCACCACCAACGTTCCACTCATATACCGCACGCTCGCCGCTTTGCCACAATACAACCGTGCTGCTGTTGGTGACTCCAGCAACTCGAGGTGACGCCAAAGAGCAACGCCCAGGGGCTTCAAAAAGGAGTATACCAGTTTCGACGTCCCAGACTGAAATTTCCCTTGTCGAAGTCGCAACAAGACGTACTCTGGGGAAGGGCGACTGTTCGGAGGAGTGAGCGCGAGTAAAGCAAATGTCAATCACTGGTGAAGCTGGCGGCTTCGCGGACAACCAACGAGTCTGAAATGGCCGGTTACTGATGATCGGTGGAATGCAAAAAAACAAATTTCATAATTTACTCGGGAGAGACAATTGTGTTATCGGCATATAACGCCACTTCACGTTAAACGTGTCGTGCTGGAATATATGTTAGCTTTCCTCTGCTGAGCTCAGGAGAGTTTCCTCGCTGATTATACCAATTGGGGTGAAACTAATACAAAATTTTCCCAATCTCACCGGTTTCCTATTGCCGATTTTCCTGCCCTCGAAAATGGCGATGACATTCGCTTTGCCCACGTACGAGCAAGCTACCGCGAACCAGGCACCTGTTCAACGACGATGAACTTTGGAGTTTCACGTGGTGTAAACCGCGATATTCGCGGTGATATGCAGTAGTTGTGAAGTATGTTTTTCATATCACTAGGGTGGTGGTGAAACACCGTAGCATTTTGAGATTATATTATTACATCTAGTTTACTACGATTTTATATATCGAAGTTTCACGACCACCCGTTTTACGTGAAGTGGCGTCGTAAATACTCTGTGAAAAACTCGATATTCGCGGTGATATGCAGTAGTCGTGAAATATATTTTTCATATCACTAGGGTGGTGGTGAAACTCCATTGATTCACCCAAAAGATAATCATGCCATATTGTAAACCCTAGTAGTATATATACCATTTCACTAGAAGTTATATCATTTTCACCAACATCCGAGCAAGGGAGTTTCACCACCACCCTAGTGATATGAAAAACATATTTCACGACTACTGCATATCACCGCGAATATCGCGTTTTTCACAGAGTATTACGCCACTTCACATCGTAAAACCGGTGGTGAAACTCCGTCGTAAAACATAGTATATATACATCTATATGTTATATTAATTTTACCAACTGCTCCCACATATCACACAACCACACATGCGCATTTACCGTCTAGTGTCGCGGCCATCGGAGCCGCTACGTCGTCCTCTTCCACAACTGGTTTCGTCACGATGCCGACTTTCCGCAGCATCAGCCTTGGTAGTGGCCTCACCTGTGCTCCTATACTCGGATAGTTTTCACGCGCCACAAAATTAGCCATTAAAATGCGACTACAGGGTGAACCAAACCGTTACGCGAAGTGATACCGACACAGACTTCGAAAGCCAACTTTATTCATAGAACGCTTACTTAATATTATTAATATTGGAGTTTCACAACCACCCGTTTTACGCGGAGTGGCGTCGTAAAACTCTGTGAAAAAGGCGATATTCGCGGTGATATGCAGTAGTCGTGGAATATGTTTTTCATATCACTAGGGTGGTGGTGAAACTCTACTGTTTAGTCCGCACTGATACGGCACTCTCCAGAACGCATAAATTTCAAAACACAACAAATGCATTGATAGAAAACTCCATAGTTACACATGATTCACTTCTCTCCTCGTATAAGTGTTGGAGGAATATACATGTTTACTTTCCTCAGCTGAGCTCAGAAGAGTCTTATATTCGGCAACGATAGGAGTTCATATATGAGTTCAGGTAGAAGAAGTTTGCAAAAATTACTAAAAATTTCCCGAAATTTCCTCAGATTTTTTATATTATCACCAACATTTTCCCCCCACACTGCTTGGTAAAATTTCAGTGTTGGAGGAATATATGTTTGCTCTCCTCAGCTGAGCTCAGGAGTCATAAGTTTACACACATATAATTCGGGTAGAAGTGTACAGAAATTAACGAAAATTTCCCGTAAATTTCCCGTAAATTTCCCATAAATTTCCCGTGAATTTCCCATAACTTTCCCGTAAATTTCCCATAAATTCCCCATAAATTCCCCATAAATTTCCCATAAATTTCCCATAAATTTCCCATAAATTTTCCGTTACTTTCCCCAAGGGCAGGAAAAAAAAGAGTGTTCGCTCACTCCATCTCGTGGCGAATCTGGGACGCTGAAATATATCATCCATAAATATATCAAATATCAAATATTAAATATTAATATCATATATTTAAATATATCATCAATCGATCATCCGACTGGCCTCCCAACAACCCCCCCCCCACTGTTGAGCGACTAAGCATGATATCAATTTTCACAAATGTCATCTACATATGCTCAGCTGAGCTCAGAAGAGTTTCCTCACTAACTATCGAAATTTATACCCAAATTTATCGGCGAAAAAGCACAGAAATCACGAGAATTTCCTAAAATTTCTTACCAAAATTTTTTCATATTATCACCAACACTTACTGTAGTTCACCACAGATAGATTTCCCGTCTGACTTTTCACCGTAGGAGTTTTCTCTACTGTCGACTGCTATTTATGAAAATACGAGCGGTCGGTACCGCAAGAAGGTAAAGATTGGAGTTTCACAACACTGGAGTTTTACGTGAAGTGGCGTCGTAAAACTCGGTGAAAAACGCAAGATTCGCGGTGATATGCAGTAGTCGTGAAATATATTTTCCATATCACTACGGTGGTGGTGAAACTCCACAGATAACTACTCCTATTAACAATCACTAACACGCAAGGAGGAGAAGTTATGGCATCCATACCGACGACTCGGTGAGGAGACATACGACAATCTCATATAGTGGTAGAATATTCCTCCGAACAAACACGAAGCAAATCGATATTGTTGTTGTTATGCAAATGCTACAATCGAAAGTAATCCTTATGCGAGAGCTTCAACAAGTAGTGGAGTTTCACCCTAGTGATTTGAAAACACCAGTGAGAAGCACATTTCACATTTCACTTCGCGAAAAACGCATATAAGCCGCGAATTTCGCGTAAAACGGATGGTGAAACTCCAGTGATGAAGTTAGGCACATATTCCTCTGACTTTTTCAAGAGGAGGACGATAAAAAGTAAGCTCCAGAGCAGTAGCCGTTACTCTCAGCGTTATCAAAGTGAAATCAGTTGTGATTACAGTGTAGATATTCTCAGTGAAAGTGTGAGTAAAGCTGATTGCTTCGACGGTCCAGGTGGCTCGCCTGAGTCTGACACGATGTTAAGTAATTGACATCAGTGTTGCATCATATATAGCTCTCCTCAGCTGAGCTTAAGGGTATCCTCACTGAGCAAATCTGAGTAGAAATTTCGTATAAATTTCCCAGAATTTTCCCCTATAATTTTAATATTCTCGCCAACATTGACCATAGGTCCATATTTTCCCTCTACACGTTCGAATCACTCCTACTTCTACTGTCAACTCTAGTCCAACCTGAACAACACTTTTAACAATAGAGTTTCACCACCACCACCCTAGTGATGTGAAAAACATGTTCCACGACTACTGCATATCACCGCGAATATCGGGAGTTTTCCAACTCTGTGTATAGTATCTCAAATTCTTTTCTTGCGGATCGACTTCCACATTTTCAGTCTAATCCCACGATCGTTTCAGGAGAGGCGTTTAAGCACTCACTAATGTACAACTTCTTCTTATTGCAGTTAAAATTTCCCCAACTGAATAGAACACGACTCCGATGATCTCAATAAGAAATTTGTTGAAAAAACAATTGCTACGAGTAAAAATGTAATGTCATCTCAAAAGCCCCCGCCACTTAACCGATTTCACGACAAATAAAGAGATGACCATAGACAGCATACAGCGCCGCAAATACAAGTTCACACGACACTGATGCGTTAATCGAGAGCGAACTGTATATAAGTCGTGAAGCCGAACACTGAAAGAATTACGACTGAGTTTAGCTACTCAAGTAAATGTATAACTGCTACACCAAGACCTACGAGCCGAAGACTATACTATTACTACTGACAACAACGGGTGGGTGATAAAGGGTTAACGTCCATTTCCCGAATAATATTCGACAAACTCTCATCGGCGTTGATGTTGCTGTTATCTCCCACCGATGTTGGACGTACTTGATGATGAGGATACACGCGTTCTTTTAGGGTCTTAACAAAAGCCCTCATACCAGGAGCGTCAACTACAAGACGATACTTCATCATTTCCTCTCTATCACAGGTAGCATCAGCAACATCTTGTCGTAGTGGACCATAGACCTCTTTACCGTTCACCCTAACACTGGCTGCAAAGCCCTTGTGCATACGTCTAACGCCCACTGGAGCATAATAATCATGCTTTTTAGGCTTCTTTCGAGTTGAGGAAACAGGATCAGTGACAACCTTCATCTGCTCAAGAAGTTGCATCACCTCAGAATTTGTCAGACCCCTTTCCAGACGTAGTCGGTGAACTTCCTTTTGATCTTCGACACATTGACGAACTGTTTCACGGTAGGGGCCTGTAGCTTGTCTACCTCCATACCTTAGGACAGTAACCCAACCGCGAGACCGTCGGACGACCCTGATTGGCCCGTTGCCGTCGTCAGTCGATATATCACCCCGAAATGGTACTTCGGAAAATTCAATGGGAAAGCTCGGACGATGATGATGAGATACAAGGGGATTGAAGGCGTTGTTCGAAACTGGTGAAGAGTTGCCACCAAAAAGGTTAGTAGTAGCTGCAGACAAAGAATTGCACTCAGAAGGTAAACCAGCAGGGTAGCCTAGTGCTTGTGGTCCATGGACGTTGCCGCCCTGTTTACGAGCATTCAAGCGATCGCCGTACAGGAATAATCGAGATATTAAAGTTAAGTTATCGTCAAACTCCGGTACGTCACATCCGTTACGACTCGATGGTTCACCAGGCGGCATACCAAAGTTATCAAATAACATCATATCCACCGATTGCTGGAGAGGGGAGTCGTTGTTGTTAAGCATAGTAGTCCTCGGAGTAGCTTCATGAGTGGTGTCACCAGTGATAACAGACCCTTGAGGGAAGGCAAAAGGTGATCCCTCGAGAACGGGGATGGCATCACTTAACTGGTATTGGCTAGAAAAGCCGCCACCAGTAGTTATATCTCCGCTGCGGTCCTGGAGCAACTCACCGTAGTCGTGATTCATTTATGTACGCCAATACACGTGTAAAGGAGCATGCACGCATACGACGATTGAATCACTGAGCAGATGCAAGAATGCAAGATATCACTCAGGTACCTAAGGCATGATGTACAGACACCTTCACTAAATTCACATTACTATCACTTTATTCATCCGTCATTTTCCAGACACCTTCACTAAATTCACCTCACTATCACTTTATTTCTCCGGTGGAGAAATTGGTCTATTTGATGCCAACACACGGCCAGTGATACTCTCGTTATCGCTAATGAGCGCTTGAGCACGTCATTGATCCGTGAGGTATCTAATTGTTCACTTCACTATTCGCGTACTGTCTTTCAAGGACGCTCAAATGGTGATTGTTGAACCCTTGAAGGACCCCAGCGAGTTATAAACGTCCATCCCCACGATCACGAACTGAAGACCAACGTAGTGACAGAAGAAACTCCTTTCATATGCGACGGATGCAACTTAATCAACTCAAATAGCCGCCTCGTGTTTTCGTTCACTTGACAACGGAAATGTCGGAGCATGCTCAGCAACAGCCTTGTAGACTGCAGGAAGCAAGACCTTATAATGGAATTCAGGCCTGACAGTACACAGCAAATTACATCATTCCAGAATCACTGAATTTACCCTCTTATGCTAGCCACCAGGCCATAAGCGTTCAAGTACGGATGCTCAGGATCAGCGCCATTAGTGAGAACGTCAGTGGATTTACGGAAAATGTGGTATTCTATTATGTCTCCGATGGCGTCGGTCACATTACCGCCTAGTGCAAGTAAAAGGGCTTCGCCTAAGAAGAAGAAGATATGCAAGGTAATAACAGTATGATACCTCACCTGCACAGCTGTCCCATCTTTTTGTGCCCGGTCTCGGATACAGATACCTGACGAATAGAAGAGCTCCTCTCCGCAGATTCTGGAGGGCTCATCGGATTCTAGATTGACACACCAATTTCCTATAGACCAGTACTGAGAGCACTAGAGATAGAATACAGCTGTTATCGTTGCCAGTGTCTCTCGATGAAGGATGACGAACTTAGAATGTCTCTGATTGAATTATTAAGCCACTACGATGACGGTCACTCGTTGGATCACATTACTTAGTAAACAAAACCCACTTACGCGTCAGCAACGCCCGTCACGACGTCGAGGAACTTCCTTCCAGCACCTCCGTGTTTCAGAGTTCGAGTTTTTGGTCCGAGATTTTCGAATGCCGCCACGACAACAGGAGCAGTTTTAGTTCTGAGAATAACCAACGTCAACGTAAGATACAGCAATTTACTACCTTGTTGTGCAAATGTCAAGTCCGTCTGCAATGTCAACATCAACACGCTCAGGTCTGCTCACGGCCTCAATGCTTTCTCCTGGGCGCGTCCGGAAAACACCAACGCCAACTACTCCCACAAAAGTTTCTCGATCGACTAGGCGAACGATGATGCCTGCCGTTGCTCTGTTATTCACGCTGATTCCTGAAATGTATTGTGGAGAGAACCACAGTGGGACAGACGTCACCTATAAGAGTGGTTACGCTTCCTAAATTGCCTCTTGTGAACTCAGAAGTACCATCAAGAGGGTCCACCCAAAGCGCTATTGACGAGGCCGGCACTGATCCTAAAACAGACATGACTCTTATTATTTTGAGTAACTCTCTTTGCTCTCAAGCTGAGAAACTGATGACGAGGTTAGAGCAGAGTCAAGACTGTCAAGTTATCAATTCGTCAACGAGTTAGTTCGGGTGTGGTATGGGTTATTAGGAAACTGTGGCATATTGGGGCCGATATGCCACAGTCATGCAGTTTAGATGTACGGATATTGGGGTCGATATGCCACGGTCATGCAGTTTGGATGTACGGATATTGGGTTCGATATGCCACAGTCATGCAGTTTGGATGTACGGATATTGGGGTCGATATGCCACGGTCATGCAGTTTGGATGTACGGATATTGGGGTCGATATGCCACAGTCATGCAGTTTGGATGTACGGATATTGGGGTCGATATGCCACGGTCATGCAGTTTGGATGTACGGATATTGGGGTCGATATGCCACGGTCATGCAGTTTGGATGTACGGATATTGGGTTCGATATGCCACAGTCATGCAGTTTGGATGTACGGATATTGGGGTCGATATGCCACAGTCATGCAGTTTAGATCTGCGCATATTGGTCATTACGACACGGTCATGCAGTTGAGACCTGCGCACTTAGGGTCGGTATACCACAGTCACGCAGTTCAGATCTGCGTATATTGGGGTCGATATGCCACAGTCATGCAGTTTGGATGTACGGATATTGGGGTCGATATGCCACAGTCATGCAGTTTAGATCTGCGCATATTGGTCATTACGACACGGTCATGCAGTTGAGACCTGCGCACTTAGGGTCGGTATACCACAGTCACGCAGTTCAGATCTGCGTATATTGGGGTCGATATGCCACAGTCATGCAGTTTGGATGTACGGATATTGGGGTCGATATGCCACAGTCATGCAGTTTAGATCTGCGCATATTGGTCATTACGACACGGTCATGCAGTTGAGACCTGCGCACTTAGGGTCGGTATACCACAGTCACGCAGTTCAGATCTGCGTATATTGGGGTCGATATGCCACAGTCATGCAGCTTGGATGTACGGATATTGGGGTCGATATGCCACAGTCATGCAGCTTGGATGTACGGATATTGGGGTCGATATGCCACAGTCATGCAGCTTGGATGTACGGATATTGGGGTCGATATGCCACAGTCATGCAGCTTGGATGTACGGATATTGGGGTCGATATGCCACAGTCATGCAGCTTGGATGTACGGATATTGGGGTCGATATGCCACAGTCATGCAGCTTGGATGTACGGATATTGGGGTCGATATGCCACAGTCATGCAGTTTGGATGTACGGATATTGGGGTCGATATGCCACAGTCATGCAGTTTGGATGTACGGATACTGGGGCCGATATGCCCAAGTTACGCAGTTCAGATCTACGGATACCGGGGCCGATATGCCCTAGTCATGCAGCTCAGATCTGCGTACATTGGGGTCGATATGCCACAGCCATGCAGTTCAGATCTTATCGCGTTCAGGCGTACACGTTTTCCCCCATCCAGTTTACGACCTCCAAGTCCTTCAACTTATTCACCCTCCATAGTATGGAGGGCGAATAGGTCGATGGACTATGGAGTCCATACAGTATCCCACCTCCTACTAAGATCATCTGGCCATGCATTTAATACCGCTTCCGTGAACACAGGCCTTGCTTCAGGAGCTTCAGAGCCTTGAACAGCATCCACTGCTTCCGATTCATCCCCCTCACTTTCCCCCTCTTCGCTTTCTTCGCCAACGATGCTCGTCGGATCGAGATTAGGTACCTAGTGGATAACCTTAGAGATACCCTTTGCTACGCTTACTAACCTGTGTTTTTAAAATAGACATTATGTAGGCCTCAGCACGGCGATCGGCTTCTGTCTGAGGATCGTCCATCGGTCTTCCGGTGAACGAATCAACACCGCAACCTGATAATTAAGACTCATCGGGATTGAACCGTACGATTTTCAACAGGAATGGCTCATGCCTCTGAACCCATCATGTATCTTCGTCATTCGAACTCAAGAGACCATTCTAAGTCCAAATACCTCCAAACCACCAGGAATGACAAGTGTTATCAGAGAATCCAAACCACCAGGAATGACAAGTGTTATCAGAGAATCCTTATGACATCATGATGTAGATATGCTCGGAATAAGTTAGTGAAGCTTAGAAGATAGGCGCATACCTTGGTCAAATTTCCTTGTTGAATCGACAGCATACAACACGTCAATCATACAGATAGATTACATCTACATCTGTGTGCTGACTTGCTTGATTCTTTACAAAGCTGTTTTAATTTCACTGGTTCGAGAAAGGATTTCAGTAAGGGTTCTTGCCGGCTTCCCAGCCGTTCGAAAATGTGTTACCTCGACTTGAAGGGGCGTCAGTAGAGCTCTAATAGTGCTAAGGTCAATCAACGTCCTCAAGTTCACATCAATAAGAAAAACTCACGCTTTAATCAAACCCTGTCTCGCCCTCAGTACCTTTTTCGACCAACCCCAACGAGCCCTTGTCGTGGACATCTTGAATGATGCCCGCTGCTCCCTGTGCAGCGGCGACACAAACCGATATGAGATGACGGAAGTCGACAGCCGGGCTCATTCCCGCTTTAGTTGTTGATGACATTTTCCCAAAATGCTGAGATGTTGATAAGATATAGCAAACTACATAGTCCGTATATAGTGACTCGTTGCGAACTATGGCATACATATGTTGCATCGTAAAAGGTTTTCATACAGACAGATACCTGAAGGAAGCCACTGTTGGCATTACTGGGGCCTGTCGTGGTAAGCCCATCGACCCGCTCCCGCAACCCGTGTAACTCTGAGCATAGCGTCATGGAAACTGGGATCGGCTGTTTATTGAGATTGCTTCTTCTCCCACTGGGCTGGTGTGAGCGTCTGAGAAATGTATGGCAATTAACGCCAAAAGGGTAGTCTGGGTTGGATTCCATAGCGAAATTCAATTCGAGCTGGATTACAAAATTGCCGAGCTGAATCCTCGATGATATGCTCATAGAATAGGATATTCTTTTCGAGCACCTATACCACTGAGAAATCTACTGGACGAATGGGGCGGCTATGCCCAAGGTCTTTACCATTGAGAAGTATACTTGGCGAGTGGGGCCGCTATGCCCGAGGTCTTTATCATTGAGAAATCTACTTGGCGAATGGGGCGGCTATGCCCGAGGTCTTTAACATCGATAAGTATACTTGGCGAATGGGGCCGCTATGCCCGAGGTCTATACCCTTGAGAATCCTCCTCACCTGGAGACTGATAGCATGCAGCTCACCCGAGTCTAAAAGATCTTTCACAATTCCTTGCACCTGGATACGAATGAGGTCCGATTCATGACCATTTACCATACCTCACGATGGCGTTTTATCGTCGACACTCCCTCAAAACTCGGGTCGACTACCAGTATGCCCAACTGAAAAAAAAACAACAAGTGCGAGTCACTGCATCAGGACCGCATCGTGGATATACTACACTGAGCAAAGGAGGAATTCGAGTAAGCAGATCAATCATAAAACTGGAGATGATAAACGCGATAAAAATTCTTTCCATTTGAAATATTCCTCCGTAACCAGATTTCATGAATTTTTCACTATAAATCAACTGACCCATAGTGGTTGTGACGAATTTGATGTTGATGTTCAGGACTCAACACAGATGCGCTCCGACCGACTTCGATGCTGCTAGTTGGCTCACTTTAGCTCCGGAACACTCTGAACCCATATCCACCACGTCAATGGCTGTGGCCGTTGCGAAGTGGGCTCTAGTCCTTCGTTCAACTTCCTCTTGAACAGACATTTGCAATGACCAAGTTAGTTGTCGACTCACTGAAGTTAACACGATCCGAGTTTTGATATGAAAAGGATCTCCCACAAGATCTGTTATACCTGGTAGTACTTTCTACGGCTAATACTGGTTGTGGCAAATGAGAAATATACACTACCGCTTAGTAGTGAAAATTAGAGTCGAACCACCATACACCCTTGACACCCTTGAACACGGTGCAAAACCCCTCAGAACAAATACTACATATACGAGCGAAATACGAAATTATAAGATGTGACACAACAAAACTAATGGATGGTCAGCCGTAGTTCGGTGCGAACGCGAAGGAAATTAAAGTACGATGACAGCGTTCCTCAGCCAATCGACAAGATTGGACCCTGAGCTTCGGTCGCAAATGTAGGCATTACACGATGAGTGTTAGAATGAGTGTTAGAGGGCGGTGCCTGCTCGCCATGCAGAGAACGATGGACTTCTTGTTGATGATGAGGATAGACGCGTTCCTTTAGGGTCTTAACAAAAGCCCTCATGCCAGGAGCGTCAACTACATGACGATACTTCATCATTTCCTCTCTATCACAGGTAGCATCAGCAACATCTTGTCGTAGTGGACCATAGACCTCTTTACCCCTCACTCGCACACTCGCTCTGAAACCCTTGTGCATACGTCTAACGCCAATGGGAGCCGTATAGTCCAGCTTCCTGGGTTTCTTGATCAACTGCGTAGACGGGTGTCGATCAGTGACAACCTTCATCTGTTCAAGGAGTTGCATCAACTCAGAATTGGTCAGGCCCCTTTCCAAACGTAGTCGATGGACTTCCTTTTGGTCCTCAACACATTGATGAACTGTTTCACGGTAGGGGCCAGTGGCTTGTCTACCTCCATGTCTCAGAATAGTAACCCAACCGTGAACTCTACGGACCACCCTTACGGGACCATTAACATCATCATTCGGGAAGTTGTGGGCACCAGCGAACTTACCAGTACCATAGTTGCGTTGAACCCTCCTCACTTTGCGGCCAACCGTGGGAGTCGTCACGGCTGCGGCTAGAGTCGTTAGGCCCATGGACTGCGGGAGACCAGCAGAAAACAATTCTGGTCCCAGGATGAGAGCAGGACCCGTGTGGTGACCTTGTGCTGATCGCTCACGATTATTAATATTGGCAGCTGAGCCTTTGGAAGTAGTGGAGGCTCCAGGGGTTGATCGATTGCCTCCACTCGTGGCTAAATTCAACAAAGCCGAGTAAATTGCATGACTAGGACCGGGTTCCTCAGGCGCATGGTGACCTTCAACATCAGTTGAAGAGAGCAACTTCATAAGGAGGGTCGAATTGTTATTGACTCCCGTCATGGACGTGTCGAAGCCCGCGTCCCTCGGTCCTAGTTGGTCCCCAAGGGTAGGCCCACAAGAGAACGGTCCAGAAGGGTCAATCTTGGGCATCTTGCTAGCCCTCTCGAAACGCATCTCATCATCAAATCCCTCGAGAGTAGAGAAGAAGTTAGAGCCGTTGAGATTGCTGCCGGGGAGGTAGAGCGTCCCGGGTATCCCCGATGTTAGGTCACGGGAATCCTCCTCCCCATCATCACCGACAGCTGAATGCACGAAACTGGACTGGCCCAGGGCACCGCGTTGAACGCCACGGTTAGAGTCAATGGTTGCGGACATGCGTATGTACATACGTCAGGACACAGAATTTGCACGCAAGCGCTTGACAAGTGCTCTCGTTAAGAAGCTGCAAGATTTCAAGTTCTCGAACGTGACGTGTCTCCTCGTTGCCTGAAGTCTCAATATGAGGCTTCAGGCAATGAGGCAGAAGATTAGGTATGTCTGGTTGAGGCCATAAGTACCATTAAGAGGGACGGATCGGCAAACGTGAACGGCTTGGGCTTAACAGTGGTAAGCTGGTGCGTCACGTCGGGCAGTCCATCTGATGGGCTCCACCGGTTTCATGGGGTTACTGAGTGGAGTCTCTAGGGGTTCTCTAGTGGACAGCACTTCATGTCCTGGTCCTCCACTACACAACGTTCCTCGCCAATGAGGAACTCGGGTTCGATCCCACCTCCCTCCAATTCTCCTTTCGATCGGCAGGAGATCAACGATCCCTTTGGTAACAGCTATACGGAAGGTGAGAGTGCTAATAATCATCAGACGAATGCCCACCTCCTCAGGAGGCGCGGCTTATACTGTTGACCTAACTCAACCGCCTCAAGTCAGGCTTGGGCGTCTCACCCGTCAACCCAACACTAAATTGCAATCTCGTGAAGGGAATGCTCACAGAGAAGAGCTCCAGTTGGTTGCCGAGGAGGTTCCGAACAGAGCAATGTAAACGGCAAATTCGAGAACGACATTATTTTTCGACTAGTTATGCAACCTCTGAGGACGGCAACAGCGAGACTCTGTCGGATTTCCTTAACTCCGACTCGGCTCCATCACAACCGTGAGTCACACCAGAAGCTGGTCTAAGTATCTCATCACAGGTCGCAGGAAGAACCTCAGTTGACCCCAGAAAAGCATGCGTTAACTGTCGAGTAGTTTGCTGATGTCAGCTGTGGGATTTGAACCTGCGTCCTCTCAGATCGCCAAGCGGCATCAGAATCATGTCGTTCGAGCAGTTAGAGCTGCCCTCCGAGCCCTCATCATCCGAGGTTGCTAGCGACCTAGAGCAACCTCACATCAGTGTGACAGAGGAACCCCCCGTCGAGGAGGAGCTCGCTGGGCCAATAGCTAAAGCCGGCCTTGACCACAGCGAAAATGATGCCCAACAGACTGAATCAATCGAACCAGATCGTGACGTAACCACAGACGAAGCGGTCCCCGGGTGAGGCCCCATGCTGTTCTCGATCAACACTCGAAGTGTTCAGAAGCCACAGTGTTGACATTAGCTATGCAGATGAGGACTTCGAGGAAGAATCGTCACTCTTTGTCCCTGATGATGATAAGCCACGGCCCTCGTCCGGAGGTCCGATGGACACCTCTAATCCTCGTCTTAGTTCGAGTACATCAGTTCAAACTGAACAGTACATCGCCGCACCCCAAACACCACGATCCTCCCCGAGACGTCGTCCTTTGGTTCGAACGTGCGTCGAGCAAGGCGTGCAGGTTGGTCGTAATTAACGTGTCGAATCCCCCGATATTCCATCAGGTCGACGGCCTACCACAGAGCATCGGCACTCAGTGTGAACAACCCTCATCAGAGAAGCATATTGTTTGTCACTGTTATGGTCATCAACCTTTTGCCCTCGACAGTTGGTCGAACTTCCCCGCGGTTCCCCCGCCGCCGCCCGTCTCGCACACCGCCCCGTTGGAGATGGTGTGGCCTCATAGGCTCTGTCGTTGTCACTAACATGTCAGGTTAATGAGCTTCTAGACGAGGCCTTTAAGGAGCAAGTAGCACTCCTACGTGCGGCTGCCTCACAGCAACGAGAAGCTCTACTGAGATTATCATCGAGGATTTAGTGTACCATGATCACTGCTGTTATACTACGCTGTTCTCTGAGCTAATGCGTGACTGTTGTTCAGCAGTCTGTGAGTTAGAGCTGATTCCATACCGTAACTTTTCCACATCACGGTGATCAGAGGTGAATCAAGCACCCGATGAAGCGGTGTGAGCTAATCTTTCAACTCAGTACACTGGGACATTAAACCTTCGTGAACACGACGATCGAAAAGCAGTACTTGATTGCCTTCGAGGTATCGACCGGCCTTCGTTCATGTTGAGCAAATGACCTTGCTCGGGAACTATCAGGTTACTGCAGAACTAACGTGTTCTCTCATCAGAAAAGATACTGCGAAATCAGAATCACTGCTGTATTCTGTACAGGCCAGCGTCGTTGTTGTGAATTCGGTTTCGTGCCCTTCGACGGCTCCTTCATTGATATTATTTGTGATTAGTTTTAGACAACTTTCTTCTTCACTTCAGACGTTCCAATATGCGTAAGGAGCGTTTTTTTCTTAGGCAAATATGCGTTTCTCGTTGTGGGATCGCGACAGTCGCACGATTGACTCTCGCCAATTCAGTTGCTACGACCGTCACGACGATGTCGAGTTTATCCCATCACACTTCCTCGCCCAAAATCCCCCACTGTTGAACACAAAACCTCCCACGCTGTCATGATCACAACTCAGTCACAGTGCCTCTGCGAGCACGGTGAGTTCCATAGAAGGCATCTAGATGCTCTAGGGTAATCATCAGGGTGATCGAGTCGAGACGCCACGACCTAAAGGGGAACAGTGATGGTAGATTTTCCTGAAGGGCAGTTCACTTCTCATCGATCGACTCCAGGGCATGTGCCTCAAGGGCCGCCACTTTCGACTGAGCCAAAGACACGTAGTGTTGCCTCCAGTCTTCGGTGACGTCAAAATCAATAGTAGCAGAATGATCAACCCGTGAGGACGTCGCTCTGAGTGGAGCCACTTCGCTCACACTCCATAGAACTTCGTGGTCCTCAGTGAAGACCACCACGTCAACCGTGACAGCATGCCAGAACCTCGTAAAAGCCCTTGTACGCCAGGCCAGCCTAAGACTACCATCGATCGGGAACTCGAACGCCTGTCCTGATTGATGCGGTTTTAACACATGAAAAACAGCCGAGGGTTCAGGTTGCTGTATGAAAGTGTCTTCAGCGTCCACACGATAGAAAGTATTGCTGAACACAACTGTAGCGCCGTCTCTCAGTGCTACCATCACTGTGAGCCCTCTAAGTCCGACCAGTGGGTCCAAGTCATCGGGGGTTCCCCCGAGACGATGACTGGCAAGACCAAAAGCCCTGACTATATCATAGAAGGTAACATTGAGGTAGATGACCGCAACCTCACTTTCGGGGCCCGACCACAGGCCGATTGCAATGCGGCCAGTAGACACCAACACAACCTCATCACAGCCACCAACAGGCTCTTCTACAACGTTCACTTTCCCCGAGAATATATCAGCTTCAACACCTAGTAATGCCGCTGACCGCGCACTCAGTCGAAAGGTAGCGTTCTGGAGTAGTGGCCAACTGATGAGCTTCCGGTGAGCCGAGAAGGTGAGCCGAAATACAGTGCCAGACGCCGACACCACAAACGGGCCGGGGTCGGACAGCCCAAACGTCCACTCTTTCGCTGTGTGTTTGAAAGGCCCCGAGTCGACTGACGGTGCCTCTTCTCGCACATACAACGTCCACTTGAAAAGATGCAGGTATTCACATTGGCGTGGTAAGTTAGGCAGAAGGTCTTTCCGAGTCATTTTACGGAGCTTTGTTACGACACTTGAACGTTTGTCTCTGAGTCGTCGAGCATACCCCAATCGACCGCCAGGGCACCCTCGCCACAGCGAGTTATTAGAGGAGGAATCACATACTTGTAGAGCTCGTTTGGAGATGAGTGAGCAAACCAGAGGCTGACCACTCAACGCGAATATCGTCAGTAGTGCCAGGTCGGGGAGGTCTATGAAGGTAACTGGCTTCTCATGACAGGCTCGGCGGTTTAAAAGACGCTTATGAGCGGTTGTCATCACTCAGCAATCCCCTGAGACATCACAATATAATACAGCGTGGTTCATCTCGTTTGACAGTGGGTGATGATAGCAATTGTCGCAACATAGTCGATTGTGATATACACTTTGAATTTCACAGTAGACCATCAGTATTAACGGACGGTTGACACAACGCTAGCTCTTGAGCACGACAGAAGGCACAATTAACACAGCCCCAGTGGAGGCCCCAAACAATAGCAAACATGACATGGTAAATCTATTGGAGGTCTGTGGTGGTAAGACCAGCATAAGTAGTCTGAACGACCGTTTGAATGGTGTCTGAGTCTTCAATGTCGCCCTCGAGGTTATTAATCGCGTCAATGCAGCGTTCTTCATCACCATCAGTTGGAGAGTCGTCAGGAAAGGCGATCTCAGTCCTGAGGAGGAAAACACTGCACCTTCAACCGTTGCAAGGGAGTCCACTTTATAGGGCGTTCGTCTGGGATTTCAACGAGAATCTCAGCCGTATTAAGGTTGACCGCAAGTACGTAATCAGTGGATTCGAGCTGGCAGATTAAACCGTCGACCTGAGAAGGGCAAGTGCCAATAGGGGGGTGTTGGGCCGTTGTACTTGGTGGGAAACTTTGAGGCCGTCTCTCCAAGGAGCATCATCGCTTAGGGTGGACCCGAGACGTTGTAGAGTGAAAAGCTCTACTATGAGGGTAGCGAAAACGCTTTTGAACAAGTGCATGATGGAACTGGGAAAGATCCGAGTCTATGCGATAAGATCGTGGGGATACCAATCTGAGCAAGTAGATTCTCGCATGATATACACCACGATCAGAATTCATGAGGAGTTGAACGGGAACTTCTACAACCATTTAGATACGATCAGTGTTCAATTGAATTGCGCTGGGCGAGCGCGGTTGATTTCGCATCGTTACGATTCGACGCATTTTGGTAAGTCACCTTGAGTTTGTGATATCGTTAGGCGGCAATGGGTCTCAAAATCTCCTCGCTTTGGGATCGTCTTTTCGGCAAGAAGGAATTGCGAATTTTGATGGTGGGCCTGGACGCAGCAGGTGACCGGTGAAAGGCTCTCGTGGTGACCATTGTTGAGGCTTTCAGGCAAAACTACTATCCTGTATAAATTGAAGTTGGGTGAAGTGGTGACTACCATACCAACCATTGGCTTCAACGTCGAAACTGTTGAATACAAAAATATCAGTTTCACTGTGTGGGATGTTGGTGGACAGGATAAGATCAGGCCGCTGTGGAGGTGTGTTGCATTGTCTTGAAACTCGTTGACAGTTTCAGTGAACAGGCACTATTATCAGAACACCCATGGTTTAATCTTTGTGGTGGACTCCAATGACCGTGACCGTAGGATGAATGATTTACTGTTAAACTCTAGCCGGTTTCAGGCATTGGCGATGCTAAGGACGAGTTGCAGAGAATGATGAACGAAGAGGAACTACGAGATGCTGTCCTCTTGGTATTCGCTAATAAACAAGTATTACGGAATTATTTTGCAGTCTATCGTTGAGAGGATCAACCGTGTGTTCAGGATCTGCCAAATGCTATGAAAGCCAGTGAAGTGACAGATCAGTTGGGCTTACAATCGATGCGCCATCGACAATGGTTCATCCAGTCCTGCTGTGCCACGACCGGTGATGGTCTCTATGAGGGCCTCGATTGGCTCAGCCGCGTTCTATGCGCCAAGAAGTGAAGGCATGTTAGTAAGCATGGTCAGAAAAGATGTGCGCTGATTACCACTTCCTATTACCATGCACTGCATCAATTTCTAAATCATCCCATATACAGTAATATACTCTTTTCATCATATACACTGCTCTGCCTTGTGCTTCGTAGTTGGTAATTCCCAGAACGCCCCATCACCTTAGCTCATCCTGTTTACCGTAATGGAGAACTTGGGTTGTCTGCGGTACGCCTAAGGTCAGTGTGAGGTAAAAAAGCGGTAGTCGAAGGGGAGATCTCCATCATGTGCGGGTAATGTTTAGGGAGGGTTAAGGTCACATTTTAGAGACTTTTGGAGACCAATAGGGTGGGGTCGGTATGCCACCTCGAGATGTGGCATAGCCGCCCCATTTGAGGAATTGTTCTTTCCATCCCGTCCACCGCCGAAGGGGAGTTGAGGGAGGGTTGGGGTCACATATTAGACGCTTTTGGAGAACAGTAGGGTCAAGTTGTCTGGGTGGGGTCGGTATGCCACCCCAAGATATTGCCTAGTAAAATCAATTACGCAGTTGCCCGTGGAAAGGCGATTAACTCTATCGGTATAATCGGATTAATGGGCATAGCCGCCCCATCCCATGCACCGCCGGAAGGGTGATTTTTATCATGTCCGGGTAATGCTGAGGGAGGGTAAGGGTCACATTTTAGAGGCTTATGAGAGGCCGGTAGGGTCAAGAAATCTGGGTGGGGCCGATATGCCACACCTAGTATGGTCAATGTCGCAGTCAATAAGTATCTTACTAGTGGGAGAGTCAATAGATATTAAATACGAGCTCTGTAGCGATGATTCTTAGGGAGCGCGGCGGGTCACGTCCTAGGGAGCTTTGCTCGTGATATTTGGCTAGACAATGAGTTGTCTCTATAAACGTCCCTTTTATCACATGTTATCAGTTTAAATTTGACTGTCGAGTATCTTATGTCATAGAGGCTCATGGCGCGCAAGTTACCGTCCATCGCATCCCCCGCTGCACCAACTTGCTCTTCGCTGTGTACTGACCCGATGCCAAGCGGCACTCTTCTTGCTCGGGCTGAGAAGCCTGGTGAGGGGTTCGCACCCATATCGTACGATATATCGCTCAGCAATTTTGACCGGGACAGAGGGGTGTTCTCCGGCGAAGTCCGCATCCACTTGCACACAGTAGATGTCCAGTGTGATATTATTTCCCTGCATGCTGTTGGAATGACAATCTCGGCCTTGAAAGTTGACGATCGGGCAGCTCAGTATGAGCTTTCTGAGGGAATCCTCGCTATTCAAGTTCCTGTAAAACGCCAAGCCCACGAGGTGTTCGTCGAGTACACAGGGAAACTGGCAAGGTGTGGTCCTCTGAAAAGCCGCCTCGATGGCAGTACCATAACTGTCGCCCCACGCGGATTATTCACGGCTGACTCTCATGCTAAAGGTCACGTCAGCAGCCTCGACGTGAGCGACTTGGAAGCGCTTGCTGACAACAGTGACTTCCCAACTTCCGCGAAGGAGTTTTATATTGGTACGAGTTTGGAACCCCGACATGCACGTCGGGTTTATCCCTGCGTCGACGACCCACGCTTCAAGGCTTCCTTCACACTGAGGGTAGCTGAGAGGGACGTTGGTGATAACTCGATCACTTCTATAAGTGCGGCCCGACGACTCGAAGGTTCGGTCGCGTTTAACACCCCGGGAGACCTTCGACTGCCAACCTACTCTGTAGGGCTCTTTATTGGCCCTTTCTCTGAGTATGTGGCGAGTGATCGAGTGCGAATAGCATATTTTTGTGAAGAAGACGGTTTCTCTGACACCGCGAACCACACACTTCTCGACAAACGACAGCGTCACAGTCGAGATCGCCTTGAGCTCACACCAGCTGTGAGTGGACATGCTGCCGCGTTTGCCTTAGAGCAGATGATGCTCTGGTTTGGTGAAGTAACGCCTTATCCTTCCCCACCTAACCTGTTGCGTATCGTGGCTCTACCTCATCATCGTGGTCTCGGCCTTGAAACTTTCGGTAGCATCTCGGTGAAGGATACCTATTGCTTGTTGCCGAAGATTGCCAATGAGATTCGTACTATTGAAAAAGAGAAGAAGCAGTACCCGGATGGTCAGGGAACACTTCTTGCTGCGAAATTGAAGCATCTGTCGGAGTTGCTTAGTCGTAGACGGCGCACCGCCCGGCTGATGTGCCACGAGGTTTCCCATATGTGGTTTGGTGACATGCTCACCCCGCGGAGTTTTCAACAACTCTGGCTCAAGGAGGGTATGGCCAGACTGCTCGAATTCATCATGTGCGAGTTGTTACCGACCTGGACGGAAGACGCTCGGATCTCCACGAAGGAACTGCATGTGTAAGAAACCACTGCTCAGAGATAGCAGTTGAAAAATCAGGCTCAATTCGTGTCTCGGGAAAGGGATTTGGGAGCATTTCATCACCGATGTCCAACTTGATGCGATGTTGGCTGACGCTTCACCCGCAAGTACGTAGGCATCCACTGGTGACCCTAGTAGGCATCTTGTCAGGATCTCATCCGATCGAGTGTCCAAAGGCGAGCACTAGTGGGACTGATGACACCGAAGTGGTCTTTGATACCATCGCCTATGGTAAGGGGGCATGCGTGCTTCGGATGCTCCGAAGCGCCGTTGGAGAAGAGGCCTTCATCAAAGGTTTGCGTAAGTATCGACTCAAGACGAGTGTAAGGTGGCCGACACTTCTGTCTTCAGGGTCACTCTTGAAGAGCCATGGGCAGTCCACCTACACTGAAGAGGATCTGTGGCGTGCCATGGGAGATGCTTCCGGATGGTCAGCTAGGGAGATTGCTGATTGGATGAACACGTGGCTGCGAGAGCCGGGCTTGCCTGTGGTACAATCGGCGGTAGAAGAACTAGGAAACGGCTACGCTTTGAAGCTGTGGCAGCTAGAGGAGCCTTGTGTGATTTCCAAGCGACCGCCGTGGATTACGGGGATGGAAAAAGGAAGCGAGACTGAGTTCGATGGTAGATTCAGCCCAAGGCGGATACCCCTGAAATTGAAGATATGGTGGCTGAAACATAAATCCGTGGTTTATGAAGACAACCTTCACTGTTGGCTGGATTCGAAGCATGTGCCTGGTAACCCGCTGGAGATCATCATAGACCGCCCAGATGCTTCTGACTGCGAGTTGGCATTGCTCATAAACCCCGAACTTGAGGTAGTGGGGTCAGTGAGTTGACTTGCTCGAAGGGTTATTTCTCAGAGTTTTGTGCTTTGTCCGCCGCCATCATTCGAGACGCTACCACCAGTGGGTTGTCTCAGCCGAGTCCAACAGTGTGCTTTGCTGGCCTCCTTGGCGCTCGATATCAAGCGGCGTCGAGAGGCCTGTGTTGCAGGCGCGCATGATGTGGAAAAGGAGTGGTATTGGAAGGCTCTATGGACAGTAGCCGGCGCTTCTGATGGTGGTAAACTCTCAGCAGCTGGTGCGTTCTATACGGCTGTTGAAGCTGAGTGCGAGGTGAGCCTCACGTAATTGATTGTTCACCGGGGACGACGTTACTCAGGAAATCGCCTTGGAGGTATTCCGGCTGCGGAATGTTAAACTTGGAGGAGATGCTGGACCGGCCCTTCCCAGTTCGTATGATGCCGCAATCGAGAGAGGTCGACTGAAGATAGAGAGATTACAAAGGCGTGTTGACAATCGGCGGAGCGAAGTTTATCATCAAGTTTTTCACACTAGTGGCGCCGATGGGATAGTCGCTGTAAGTTCCTCTAGAGAGTCCCTCTGACCACAAATTATGCTGAGTGTGCTCAGGCCTTGGACGAAGAGCTGGGGTACGCCTATGCTTTGCTGGAATACGTCCGAAGCGGCATCCTGTAGGACATCGAGGCTGTCTCGGCTGATCTATTTCGTATTCTAATAGAAGTCTATTGAATGATTGTTGGCGTGTCATCGTCACAGTGCCTTGATTCAACTGGGGGGGGCATCCTTGTGGGGTCGAAGATTCATTTGAAGATGTCATCAGCAAACGTGACTGCAGCGGCAGCAGCGGCGGCAGCGGCTGCAAGTACCGGCCATCACTATCACGGGTATCACGGTGGTGCGGGCAACCTGTTAGTCTCTGTGCCGGGCTCATTGAAGACTATCATCAACAACGCTAAGGTGCGTGCATGAATATTCTCGACGGAAGGGTTACTTGTTCACAGACTTTGAAGACGGCGGAATCGAAGCGACGAGAACTTGTGATGCGCGCTTTGAAGAGCCACGGGGTAGAGGATTACACGGAAGAGGTAGGGCCTTGCCATAATAGGGAGAAAATGAGGTCTTTAGGCTCTGGATTTGCTCTGTGTGTTGTTGTCTCATGAAGTGCAACAGCATATGAAGACGAGGAGAACTCTACCCACGGACGCATTGACGGTCCCATCTGGTGGAGTAAGTCGACATAGTGTTAGTGATAGTGGGGATAGTGTCTTGTTAGATAGTTGATACGATGACGGCCAGTACGTTGGCGTTGGATATGAGCCTGCCTCGGAGTGATAACAGGTTTGATGATGCGTTTTTACCCACGAAGAGGCGACGAGGCTCCTCCTGTGGAGATGTCCTCGAGGCCATCACACGCTCTGATGGTATGTCAAGTTACGATGAGATAGTGAGCGACGTGAATTCTGAAGATGTTTGGGAGACTTGTTCATCATGGCGGCCGACCCTTTCAGGTGACGAACATGTCACAGCAGGTGCTCCAGTGGAAGATGGATGTATCGATAACACCAATGATTATGCCGCATTTCCTTGAGCGGAGGGTGGTCATGTTGCGTTGTTAAGTGCTGTGAGAGACTACCGCCACTATCAATGGGCAGAGTATGATACGATTGGACAGATCGCACCTTGATGTTACTACAGCGCGGCGCCACCCGTGAAGCGAAAATCCCTCGTGTATCCTCGATAGTTATCTGTGGGAGGGATGCGTAAGTGTCTTGTCTCAAGACCTGTCTATGCAAGTGGAGTGTAGCTCGAACGACACCTCCGCTATGCCTGCGGACCATACCATTGATCTCATTAATCTTGATATTCACAACAGGCCCGGGTGAATTGACTCATATGAGTACACTCATGTGATCCAAAAACGTGTGGTACCGTAAACTGTGGAACCTTATAACACTGTGATCAAAGAGTGTCAGACAATCATGATTGTCTCGGGCACATATAGCTGTAAGTCCCAACTAGGGTGAGATCCGAGGGATGTTACGTGGACAAGACTACAAGTGGAATAGTTTACACTCAAGGTTGTCATGGATTCCATCGAGTTTCAAGTGATCAGGTCTGAGCCATCATACTTTGGGACTTATTCGATAAAGGACAAGAGTGTATGAAGAAGACGGTGAAGTAACAGGAAGATAAGGACTTAGCGGATGATACCAAGTCTTCTCACTAAGCGTAAACAATTTGGGCCAGAATTCTTCCCAACCTAGACGCGACTACACTGAAAGCATTGAGGCTTCCTTGGCTGACAGGAGGCACATGTTCAACTGTACGCGAGCCCAAACGCCGGGCACTATCCTGACAGCGTTCCGTGGTCGATCACACCTTCCCAGGCGAGCAAGAATTGACCATCAAACAGTTTGTTTCAGACCAAAATGGACACTGGTGGTTTGGATGTGCATTATTATGTTCGGCGCTTGTTGTTTGAATATTAGTCTGCGGAGGCTCGTGGAGAGCAGGGGGAGTCGCTCTACGATAAAATTCCTCCATCAACAATTGACCCTATCTTAATCGGCCGAAGGGTCAACTTTGAGGTTCTGATTGTCCCTCGTTTTTATCGCCCCTTGATGCTTTGAATTCATCACCACGTCCCTACCACGAGAGCTCAATCTTCGTGATAAGCGGATTTGATGACACCATGGAGCAGGAAGATATGGGCGGCCTCTCCCATAGACTCGTTCCCCTCTTTGGTTGCTCAAAGTCTTTATGTTTAGGATCATTTCGAGGAAGAACGCTTCAGAGATGATTGACTAGTCCAGCCCGATCTCCCCTCAATGAAGATGGAGACCATAACAGCCGTCATGCAGAAAATCGTGAATGAGATCACCGCATCCAGTGGTTAATATACGATTTGAGTTGAATATTGAGTGGCTGAAGATGTAGCCTCTAGATATGCTTTTAATGTTATTGTCGTTATACTTCGCGAAGTATGAACTTCCTCCCTCACATCCCTTAACGCAAATTCCCATCGATTTTCACTTCAACATTCTCGTGGGCGCTACATGGGTCGTTAGAGAGTGTGAAAAAGTGTCCAGCTTAGATCGATTCTGTCGGCGGGGGATTGACGGAATTATCTGCTACTTAGGAAGTCCACACACGAGTCTGTACAACTAGGATATAAATGATGCCCTCAGCTCACCAGTGTCAACGACTCCTTCCTCTTCCCCTTCTTCCTCCTCTTCTTCTTGAGACTTGTCGGATCTACCATGAGCAGCGATAGATCTTTATTTCTCCTCACGCGAGGTACTTCACAAGTTCCGCCGCTTCATACGCGTCCACATTCAAGCCACGTGTGATCAGATCTCGTCTCCTAACGAACCTCGTAATTCGCTCTTCCAATACAACCGGAAACCTGTGAATGACCAGAGCAAGTGAAACGATCTGGTATAACTCACTTGCAGGAGCGGAGGCGTAAGCATTTAAGGCCGGAGTTTCTCTCCACGAGGCATTTGAGGAAGACTCCTATCAAACTTTGGTCCTCAATTTGGAGGTCCTCGAATCCCTAGCAGACGAGGATGATGTTGTTGATCTATGAAAGTCGCACTACTTCTGCTTTGATGTATACGGGTTTCATCTTGATAATCTTCCCCTTATCTTTCAACGGGCGATTCCGCAGGAACCCGTCTGAAAAAAGGCGCCTCGAGTGTATAATACGAAGCTTGCTTCTCCACTTGGTAATATCATAACCAGTGCTGGAGGAATGTATGTTTGCTTTCCTCAGCTGAGCTCAGAAGTTTACTCACTAATCTTATAAGTTTCCAATGGGAGTGTAGGGAAACCAGTGAGAATTTTCATGTTGTCAACAACGCATGTGGTTGACAATATGCATATATTCCCCCCACATTGCCGTGCCGAGCTTTACAGTCGGACACTACAAAGAAGTGTTGATTTATTCGGATTGGAGTTGGTTCACCGATAGCCTTCATCCCAATTTCACCCGATTTTGCCATCGTCGGTTCCTCAGGGTCCGTGTACAACGGGTTGCCCGAGAGATCGATCACACCCAAAGTGTTATTCTCGGCGAGGCAAGAGGTGAGGTAACTGTACCCAGAATGAACGACAGATATAAGGGTAGAGGACCGTACGGTATAGTGCGACTCGTGATGTCGTTGCTGGATAGGTCCAGTTCGAGTAGGGTGGAGTTGGCTACCAAACTGTGTAGCAAATGTGAAGCACCATTGTCTTCGCTGCGGTTAAGTCTCAATGAGAGCTTCTGAACAGTAGTATGCTACTCGAGAGGCGAGTTTATTCTCATGATTCACTATCAGCAAGCGGAGATTATATGTATATCAAGAGGACAACTATACAAAGCAGTTGATGATCGAAGTTACACAATAAGTTCTCACCTGTAGACTGTCGTTCTCAGCCAAGTAACGGCCGATATGCATCACACCATTCGCGTGGATATCATTATCCTCAAGAAAGAGTTTACTCAATCTAACCTCTTCTGCAGGTGACAATAATGTAGCGATTTTTCGGGCGCCCTATATACATGAAAACTCCGTCACCCTACAGACCCCTAGTGTTACTTTGTCGCTGATTTTATTATGAGATAGATCCAAATCAGTGAGAACATGACAAGATCGCAGGCCCACAGCAAGGACCTTCGAAAAAAATTTAATTTTCTTTCAAAAAAGGGACTACCTTAGCGAGCTGATCGTCAATGAGGTTATGCGGTAATGCGAGACTGTGCAAGGTCTGCGTGAATCTGCCGAAACACACACCGGTCTTAGAAACGATGAAATTCTGATGACCTCATGGCTCGAGCCACGTTAGAGACATCAACCATCTTCATGCCGAACTGGGCTCGGTCGTAGATCATCCCTATGGACAACTTGGTGCCATCGTGAGGAGCAAACTTACTACCCATTTTTCTACGGCGACCGTAAGTGACTCGGAGAGAGCAGAGACAAGGGAGCCTGGCCACTAGCAATGCCATGTCTAGAGAGGAGGGAAGCTCCTCGAGGTCTAGACGGAATATAAAGTCGGAAGTCGACTTGAGCACCTAAAGGGCGTGAGTTCGAATCCACGCAACTGCATTTTTACAAGTATAAGCTCCTCCAGTTGTTCTGTTGTTGTCTCTGAAGGGAGTTTGGATATTTCCCGAGCGACCCAAATCTCGATGAACCTTCACGAAGTGATCAGAGTTGCCATCCGATAGAAGTTTACGCTTGCTTCCAACTGCCACCATGGTCAAGTAGGTTAACACCAACAGCCACTTTCTGGCCCACCACAGACCCTACTGCGTCTTCGTCGATGTCAATGCCCGTGGTGGGCCCCAGAGCTTTCAAATATGATACTACTGCTGTGCCAAGCACGTTACTCGACGAGGAATCTTGAGCCAAGCATGCACACGGTCAACTTCACGGAAATTCTCATTGGTTTCTGTATACTGATTCCTGAGCTCAGCTAAGGAAAGCAGACGTATATTCCTACTCCAATACTATTCGAGGCAACCGTTAACATACATTACTACCGATAGACGGCTGCTTCGACAGCTGCTCCTGAAGCCGCTACTACACCCAACACTGAGTGGAGCCTTACTTGAAGTCGGCGATACCAGTAGCTTTCGTCATGTATATACCGAATTGCATCAAGAATAGGAATATCCAAACTCAGACGCGCATAGACCTGAGAAAAGTCCTCCTGATAGGATCTACTGCAACGCTGACCTCATCCATCTCTGCAGACGAGAGCTGCTCCCAAGGACCTCCATTATCTATGAACGATCAACTTCGGGATCGTCCGAGGCGGTGTTGGAGTAGGAATACAGTGCGTGCCAATTCGACATGCAGACGCGATAAATGCGTTTTTTTTCTTGAAATTAATGATAATCGCTCTGATACTTCGCACATACAATGTAATCGTTGCTACTGTGAAAAACGTATATGTTCGCTTCCTTCCGCAGAGTGCAATTAGAAATGTAGAAGCCCCAACGAGAATTTCCAAAAACTTTCAACATGTGCATATTTGTTCAACTACCTCCTCCCTTTGTCAGATCGAGGTAATTCTCGGCCAGATGGTCGAAGCATAGATCTCTTATCTTCTTGGGTTTCGTTCGAGCCTTAGAGAAATCGTGAGGAAGTGCTCTCAACGGCAACCTACATGATCTATTGCGCGAAATCGGAGCCTTTCGGTGTTCGTTTTTGCCGATCCGCTAGGGAGCATGAACTGAGTCGAAACAACTGCATTTTAGCAATGTCTACCCACAACGCGAACCACAGAGATACGATGAGAAGAAAAATTGAGTCACAATAACGTGAGTGTAAGGAGCTCGTGAATACAACCAATGAGACATACAGTGTGGTCGAATTCAAGTCCTCAAAAGGATGCTGTGGAACTCTAAAACCACCCAAGAGGCACGATTAGACGATTCATCGTAAATCGCAGATGAATGAGAACATTTGGCGGAATCAATTTACTCCACTACTGTTCCCTCCAGAAGCATTGACCTAAACTAACTCAAAAACATATATAATTTTCGATAAACTCAGCAACTCGTATGAACAGAAATTCCCTCCAAGTAGGAATATGTAATAAACTCAATCGCTATTCTCTTCAACCGTGGACGCCTCTCCTTCATAATACTTCAAAGTCACCTCGCGATAATGGGATTTCTCTTTCACCGAAGCCCAACAGCTATCTATAGCATTCATAGTAACCGCCAAACCAACCTTATGGGCATCGAAACCAAACCGATCAGCAAGAATAGTCAACTCGTCAGTGATGTGTGTCAAAAACACCGTCGGATCGTCAGTGCTGATGCTCACACTAAGACCATCCTCGATGAACTTCTTGATGGGATGCTTGTTCCAGTCTAAACTGTCGAGAATTGGCTTCTCTGGATGCACTTGGGGTAGACAGACAGCCTCCGTGCAGATACTAGAAGTAGGACAGGCCTCAATGTGCGTGTGAGTTTCCTCAGCCATCTTATACATCGCAGAATCGGCAGCGATCTTGTAGGCGTGACCCACGCGTTCAGCATGGTACTCTCGAACAGCACAACAGAAGTTCGTCGACGAGCCGTCCTCAGCGCCGTGGACGGTGACACGAAGACCGGCCTTCTCAGCTTTCAAGCAGGCGGCTACGTGAGCCTTCTTGAGGTCCTCATTCTCGAAGTGCGTCTCGCCAGCAGCGACGTCAATAGCGACAACACCCTTGGACTTGAACTCAATAGCGAGATCGGCGACCTCATCACTGACCTCAGGCATCAGATTCATACAACAAAGGATCTGATTCATGTCGATACCAAAGACCTCCTTGCCGTGCTCGATACCAGCAGTAACAGCCTCAACGACGCTTCGGGCGTCGGGTAGAGAAGAACCCTCCTTAGTGAGGACATGGGGGTTGTAACGGAGTTCAGTATAGACGACGTTCTCACGGTACTGACGTTCGCAGACCTTAAAGGCCATCTCCTCGATAACGTCCCTCTTGCCTTGTACGACAGGAGTGAACACAGCGAAGCAGTCGAGCATACAAGCCAGCCCAGCACCCTTCTGGCCGCCGTTCTGAAGTCGCTTAGCAACAACAGTCTCGGGACCAAGGCAGGTAATCTTCTCGAAATCCTCCTTGCACTTGCAAGCCGCGATAGCAGACCGGACGGTAACGGTAGCATCAGGACCGTTCCAAGGGGCGGGGACGGACTCGGGCAGCTGGTCGAGGTCGCGCTTGGCGATTTGGTAGAGGAAGTCCATGTCGAAGGCACCATCGAAGTGGATGTGGAGCTCTACCTTGGGGGCTGAGTAGAAGAAGTTGTATGAATTGGACATGAGGATATAAAGAACAGATAACAACTGTTGATCGATTTGGTAAAAGTGTCCCCTCAGTGGACCTACTTTGAATCTTACTACGTAGAACCTAAGATACTTCCGAGTGAGTGTGACGAAATGTGGAGCTCTACCTTGGGACTGCATCGACTTTCAGTAATTTTTGGGCGCGCGCTAAGTTGCGGCAATGAATCATCGAATATTTTGGGGTTTCGAATCTCGTAAAGGGAGAAATCGCAAAAATGCCGGCGTATCTTGAGGTTGACCACGTAAGATGCAAAACAGGTTCACAATCATGGTATATGCTACGAAATGGAGTCAAAACAACGGCTTCGGAGAAAACATCAGTATTCTAATTTTTTAATGAATCGAAAATTTTCAGAAAATAATTTTTAGGCGAATTTATGATTTTCAGCGTTTGTTAGCTGAAATCGAGGATTTACGGTATGTTGTTTTTTTTGGTAAAGATCTGTTCAACCAACGGTATGCGAATTTTCATTTTTTTCGGCAGTAAATGGTAAGATATACTAAATTTCGCAGAAAAAATTGAATTTTCTTGCGGCTCCAAAGAGCGTGAGGGCAAAAGGAATCGATTGAATATTTTTGGGGGAGAATTTTTTGAAGGTGGAAAAATAACAGATATTTTAGAAAAAAATCGGTGAAGAAAATGTTGTGGATACTTTTTTTCGGTGATTTTAGGTTGGATGAAAAAATACTGGGGGAAAAATCAATTTCACTTAATTAGGAAGTTGGGAAATTTTTGAGAGTAAAAGAAATTTTTGAGAAATTTTTCCGTAATTCTTATCGAAAAAGCCAAAGAAATTATTTTTTCCACCGAAAAAAAATTATATCCTTTCTATCGTTCAGGCCAGTTTGAATATTTTTTACCATCAGAAAAAATATTTTTCCTTATGAATAATTTTGTGGCGCGTGACGTTTTTTCTCTCATAGTTGATCATCCAATGCCTCCCATAAGAGGACAGAATGTGGACGGCAACGGGATGAACTTCATGGAAGTCGTTTTCGAGAATATGAGGGACTTAGGCGAACCAGATGTGGAAATAATAAGAGTAGTAGTGGACATGATTTCAATCTAACTGGTTTTTACATAAAATCAGCGTGGAAAAATTTATTCGTGTTGGTGATAATATGGAAAATTTGAGGAAATTTCGGGAAATTCTGTACACTTCTACTTTGGGAGTGTGTAAACTCCCATAATCTATGGAGTTTCACCACCCTAGTGATATGAAAAACATATTTCACGGCTACTGTGTAGTGTGAATATCGCGTTTTCACGAAGTTTTACACCAGTTCACGTAAAACGGGTGAAACTCCATTGAGTAAACTTCTGGGCTCAGCTGAAAAAAGCGAACATATATTCCTTCAACACGATTTGTGAAAAAATATAAACTTTTCTCAATCATAAAATTATCATTTTTTACGACTTTCTGGAATTTTCATGATTTTTCATAAAGATTTCTGAATTCTTTCCATTTCGATTGCTAACCGCGATGCGAAATTTTATGCGTAATTTTTACGTGAAATTTTCGTGAAATTTCTACGAAATTTCAGAAAAATTTTTTCCCTCTAGGTTAACAGAATTTTGGAGGAAAATTACTTCGACACTGCAGAATCATTCGCTACTACAACGCCAGATATTTGGGATGCGCTTTGCCTCCCTCAAAACGTTATGGAAGCTGTGATGAGAGAAATCACGATGGAAGATCGAGGAGTCGATAAGGTTATAAACGGCTGGGTGAAAAATTCCGATTGTAAAATCTTCACGCAGTTTAGGGGAACTTTTAGGAATGCAAATTTCCCTCGAAACGTTAGCTGTGATAAAAAATTAGGATGGATAATCGGAGTTAGAAAATTGATAAGGTTGTAAACGGCAGGGGTGAAAAATTCCGATTGGGAAATTTTTACGCAGTTTAGGGGAATTTTCAGAATTTTTTACTGTTTTATCTCGAGTTTGTATTCACCTGTTTCCGAATTCAATAAAGTTGGCTTTTGTAGGGGAAAAGAAAATTTTTCGGATTCCTGGAAAATTTTCTTCTTGGAGGGAAAATTTTTTCATCCTATTTTCCTGAGAATTAGTTTTGTAGATCTAAAAATATTGGAGTTTCACCTGTGGCGTAATACTCTGTGAAAAAGGCGATATTCGCAGTGATATGCAGTAGTCGTGAAATATGTTTTTTATATCACTAGGGTGAAGCTCTATTGAGAAAAATCGTCGTTTAAAATGTGATGTGTGAGGATCGAACTTGGGTGTTTGGATTCCCAGGCGTCGGACGATTGGCAGTCTCAAGAAGCAAGTTCATCTGTACAGCCAACAATGACCACAGAGGTGCTTGGCCGATCGCGCTCGCCCGAGTGATCGATTATGTTGTTAGGAGTGGGAAAGGAGGCGACAGGAAGCTGCTAGAAGGGGAGAAGAGAAGCGAACAGTTCAGTTGGGGGAGCAGGCGGTTTCTGCTGGGAATGGTCGTGGGTTCGATCCCGGCAGTGCGGAAAAACGTATTGATTCTGTGGAAGTTGTACCGTACGCGCTGAAACGCCTGGGAGATTCTCATGTGTCTTGGGTGGCAGTTTTACAAGAGTAGGAGATAATTACCGCGCGCCAGTTACGAAATTATTGTGATTTTTTTTCAGAGCAGTTCAGAGGTTGACGAATAAGAATACCGCGCCTGGGGTTGGACTTTTCGATTGGGAATATGAAACCCGATCAGCTGGAGTTGGCGGGGAGAAGTTGGAGGTAGTATCTTAGGTTCAAGTGAGTAAGATACGGAATAGGCCCGATCGATGTTCAGTATCGAGCCACAGTCTCCTTCCGGGTGGACATACCGGAAGCAAACGGCGGCGTTGGGTATTATAATCGACTTATGAAATTCATCGGATGTTGGCATCCGACGAGGAAAGTCAGTCAACGCGAAGCTGCCCGGAACGCTATTGAAACGCTGAAACTAGATGTTGATGATTTGATAGCACGACATGGTAAATGGGAATGGATGATTTCTCGGAAAAAAAAATTTCCGAGATTTTTTTTGGGCGGAAAATTTCTTGGGGATATGATTTTATGAGAGATTCCCGACAAATTTTCCGATACATTTGTGTAGTAGAGAAAAAAAGGATTTGGGATTAAACGTAACGTTGGTATTCGTATCTTCTGAGACATCGTATGAGATTTTTCGGGAGTGGGAATTTGTGTAAAAATTGTAGTAAAAACGGGTTTTTTCGTCGTGGAAATGAATTTTGTGGGTGGAAAATTTCCTGGAAATTCTCGGAAAATTTCCGTATATGATCGAAAATCTCGCGGAAAATTGAAATCGAGTGTAATATTCAATTCTGGAGCAGAGCAGATTTTCTCCGTGAAGTAGTTCTTCCTCCAAAGTACTTTTTCCTGTGAAAAGTTGGAAATTTGTCAAAAAACTTCAATTTTGTGATTTTTTCCGCGATATTTTTTCCATGAAATTTTACCACTCAGGTGGCGACCCGAACGCGAATATTCTGCAATCGGTTCACATTCGCTTACAACGGTTCTTCGGACAAAGACTTCATAGGGCGGGCGCTACTGTGATGGAGTGGAAACATATATGCAGCAAGATTGTAATAAAACGGGCATCTTGGGAAAGTTGTGGTATTGAAAATATGTTTCCGCGACCGAAAATACGATTGTTTTCCGCGAAGTGAATTGTAAAATATGTTTTTTCACTAGTGTTTTTCATTTCACGGGTGAAACCCGATTTTCTCATCTACATGGGAAACCACATAGGGTTGATATAATTGTGAATTTTTTTGAGGGTTCAGGTTGAAAACTTTATGAAAAAACCAATTCTTGAATATTTTCGTTCATTTTAAACACCTGCAATGTATTATATGTGGTTGTGGGATTACGTTGGAGAATATATATGAAAACTTTGAGGAAATTTTTGGCAAATTCTCATTCGGTTATGTTTATCGTTACTCAACTTATAATGAGCGAATATAAATTGATATGTGATGTTTTCTCGGATTTTCCAGTTCCACCCTAGTGATATGAAAAATACTAGTGAAAAATATATTTCACGACTATTGCGTAGCGAAAATATCGCGCTTTTCACCGAGTTTTACGCCACTTCACGTAAAACGGGTGGTGAAACTCCGTTTTTTTCAGGAAGAGGAGAGTCCGAATGATTCGACGGTAAAAACGGAAGAATTCAATAGTGAAGGATTGGGAAATGCTGGGGTACGGCCGGAAGATGAAATTGGTCTTTGGCAATCAACCGTGACGGTGCCGCAATTACAAAAGGAATTCACATCAGATTGGAAAAATTGCAAAAAAGTAGTTGCTTCGCTCCGCTAGAATTTGTTTGCATGTTTCTTTTTGCGTAGGATTCCCAAAATGACGCTTGTTTCAAATTGGCGGCGTTTCTGGATAGTATTGGAGTTCCCCAAGCTAATGAGAATCCGGCACGACGGAAGAGCAGCGAGAGTGGTAGTAAAGGAAAAAGTTGAGGAAAATTTTTGGGAAAAATGATACTTTTATTTTCATCGTACAAGTTGTATAAAGTTAAGTAGGGTATGTGTTGGGAAAATTTTGGGGAAATTCGCGGAAAAATTGCGAGGGAATTGAATAGTATTTATCGAGTTTGCGGAAAACAATGGAGTTTCGCCCGTAAAATAAAAACGTATTTCACCACTACTGCATATCACCGCGAATATCGGGTTTTTCACCAAGTTTTACGACGCCACTTCACGTGAAACGGGTGAAACTCCAGTGAATACCATGGAAAAACAATCCTTTTTTTCATCTGTGGCTGAGTTTACTTCATTATTTTTGTGTAACTTCGAATTTTTATGAAAAAAATCGCAATTATTGTGAAAATTGGGCAACTTATGGTTTGGGGTTATTTGCTCGGAAAATGACAGTTTTGTTTTTCATTATTGGCCGAGTTAAGTGGAAAAAATTTTGGGAATTTTTGAAAATTTTTGGAAAATGTGTGGTGATGTCAGGTCGGAAAAAAGGGTCTTCTCGATTTACAGGAGGACCATACGACAGAGAAGGAGCGAAAAATCGGAGATTTTCGGGTGGAAATTTTGAGAGAATTCCGATGAATTATTTCGATGGAGTTCAATATGTTCCGACTAGAGTGATGAATACGTATCCGGGAGCTGATGAAAGAATGGGAAGGTATATGATGCGGCCGGCTGAATACAATTATGCACCAAGTGGAGGGATGCGCTTGGAAGCACCGAGGCCTCCACCACCCGCGAGTTGGCAGGAAGGAGAGATATCTGCAGGTTATGGGTAAGAAGATACGGAATAGGTCCGGTTGGTGTCACTTTTAGTGACGAAAATTTGAACGGTAATGAAATTATTTAACAAGCAGTGTGAATTCCGACATTTTAGGGGGTTTCCACGAAAATAGATAATTTTATGCATTATGTTAGTATTAGAGCGAATGTGAAACTCGCATTCTATATCGACGAGATTTGGAGTCGGTGAGAGAGTGTACTTTATGCATTACAAGTGAAACTCCAATGTTTTTGTTGGATGAAAATTATTATTAAACAAGTGTAAAATTTGTGAATATTACTCTTTGAATGTGTCTGTACTGGTGTGTAAACGATATACATATTTTCCATAAATGAGTTTAAATCAGTTCACTGAAAATTGCAAGATGGTTTCGCTAGGTACCAACCGGCGTATCAACCGACTCAGATAAGTCGTTATGTTATTGGCGCGGGTAGACAGGACCCCTATGAAATACAAAACCAACCTTCGGGGTGAGTGAAATCGATCACGTGATCGATTTGGATATCATGTGCTTTCAGATATACTCCTCACGGCTTTGCAGGACATCAATTTCAGGGAAGCTATCCGTCTCGGCCCTATTATTGATAAAGAGAAGTTGTATTTTTCTGCCATCGATTATGTTCGGTTGTGTTTGTGGAATTATGAAAATATTAATTTATAGTTTACTGTGAAGTACATTATGCAATGATCTTTTCTTATAGAAAAAAAAAGATAATATAATTTTTTTCTTTTCTTACTGTAAAGCATGGCGAGGGTTTGATCCTTGGCACGGTATAGGAAAATATTCACAAGTCGGGTGTGAAATTACTGTAGCTTATGTAGCTTCGGAAACTTCTGAATTCGGGAAACAAAACATATATTCCAACAATGACAGACAACAGTTTGGAAGACTTATGTGTTTGTGATTCCCTGAGATGCAGATTGGGTATTCAAATAAGGAGAAATTATTTCAAATGGGAAATAGTGACTTAGATGGTTCTCAAGACTCTTGTGTTGCTTTGAGTCTCCTGGACTAAAACTTGAATAATGTTTGAGTTTGAGCTCGCACTCCTCATCCGATTATTGGGCTGGTGTATGATATGCATCATGCATCATGCCTAATGCACGATGTATGACACATCACGATCGACAGAGATTTTGTAGGACTACTTGAGCTAGTCTGCATGGATATGGATGGCGCTGCGGAACTACTCTCGAGGAGATTCATCAGGATCAGGACCGTATTGCATCAATGTCATTGTTGTGAGAACACGAGACTTGGGAAGTTGAGAAGCATCACTTCGAAATGATCAGGTAAGGTTAAGCTCCCATGACAGGATGGTATCTTCGGTCATCTTTTGCTTATCTCAGAGAACTTCTAATTGATCACAGTTGCTCATTTCTCTTGAACGGATGCGTAGCGTATGACAGGAGCTGCAATGCTGTGCTTGATTACCAAGCAGTAAGTCATGAAGGCAGCTGAGAGGAAGACCTAGAATCGTTGTTACACATTGCCTATTCTCCTCTGGAGTATGAGCAGGCACTTTCGTGTGGACCTTCGTAAAGTTACCAACTTCATTCTATGAATACTGTATTACTTACGAGTGTGTGCTTTGATATGGAGAACAGACGTCTCTCACTACAAGCCCTTACAAATGATAACGCTCATTATAATGCGTTATTTCCGAATGATAACGATCGAACCGGGCTCGGCTCTTCACTCCTTATTATGAATGTTTCCATCGTGTTTGACACATCACTAGGTCCATGCGATTACTCCTCGTCTTGAGTTTCGAGTAGCCTGGAGATCGGGATGGTTGGCCATGCGATACAAAAATGGCTGCTAAAAAATTAAAACTATTTCTGTGATTGTTAATCTCTGACATATGAATCTCAACTCACGTAAGAAGCGCCCCTTATTCCATTAGAACACGTGATGATTTTACTGCACGGAATTCTACAGTGAGTTTCGATGTCATCCCAGCAACCACAGCCCGAAGTTGGCGAGGTGATTAGTGCTGTTACTTCTAGGATGAAGATACGGGGACGATCGGATGAAGAAATATCGCATGTGAGTGGGTGAAAAACGCTAAAACTGTGGTGAGGCTTAGCAAATATCGTATACTCCTGCATAGTATTCATCCGTGGAGTATTATGATAACGTATAACGTATAAGTATATAATAATTCATACAATGGACTTTCACCCGTGATATGAAAAACACTAGTGAAAAACGAGTCTCACGTCATGCCGTTCGCAGTTGATGGAGGTTCTGTGATGGGAGTTTTGGCAATATGTCACGGACGAGGGTGGATCTCACAAACCCATGTGGGAAGCAGTCCACGTCCGTGACGCATTCAGTGCCCGGGATAAAACACGGCTATACCAATCAGCCACCGTGCAGATCCCGGGTGAATGCCCCCCATCTCAGATAGAAAAAAAAATCTAAACACCGTCACACCCAAGATAGCTCGTCTGATGCCTAACTAAGAGTGCTTGAGGGTTTCCAACAGGAATTCTCAAGCACTCTGGGGGAACTTTCTCTGTTCTTGGGTGTATGTTCCGAAGGTGATCAGAATCAGGTGAGAGACTGGATCACTGCTTTAGCAACGACTTGACGTCTTGCTTTTCTCTTGAAATTCCGTCATCTGTCTTTCGGCTATCCGTGAACTTGCTCTCTTGGGAGACCTTCACTCACGACTACTACAGGCCGCGATATCGCGTTTCTCACCGAGTTTTACGCCACTTCACGTAAAACGGGTAAAACTCCACTATAGTATCAATGGAGTTCAACCCTGGTGATACGAAAAACACTAGTGAGAAAAATACTTCACAATGCACTGCTTATCACCGCGAATATCGGGTTTTTCACCGAGTATATCGCCACTCCACGAAAAGCGGGTGAAACTCCAATATTATTAAAATAGACATTAATATGATACAAATAGCCATAGACAATATTATCATATTATACTATACTACCGTGAAAGGCATGTGGCCTTCTCCCAGCTCGAGAAAACCAGTGATGGTTGAGCTACCTTTCTAGAATGATATGTACAGTATTCGAAGTATATCTCTATGTTTTCCAAAACTAGGCTGAAAGATCACCGTATAGGCTTCGAATTTGCTGGAGTTTCACCCGTTTAACATGAAGTGGCGTAATACTCCGTGTAAATTGTAAGACGTATATGTTTCTGCGACCGATAACACAATCGTTTCCCTCCGAGTGAATTGTTTTCACCCGTGTTTTTCATGTCACGGATGAAACTCCACTGTATCTATTTTATCGAAGAATATTCGGTAAGGAATACTAGGAGATCTTCTTTCTCTTCTTGCGCAGCACGCCTTCGACCAGGCGAGTAATAGCTAGTATAGAGGGATAACTGCAGGCTCAGTCACTATCTGAGCCCTGGTGAGAACCGGTAGACGCTAGGTTTTGCTAGTTTAAACTAGGAGATCATACTACCATTTACTAGGTTGATAGGAATCGAATGCTCTTTTCCCTTCAGATCGTCGACATCCTAGTCGCCAACGCTTTGTCGTCTCGGGAAGCACTGCTATCCTCGGATTATAGACTTTGGATATCTCTGGGCTTACCCGTTGGTTTGATGATGCAGGTGAGAACTACTTTGTTGGTATTCAAGTCACGTGATCTGGTGATAGATTGTAACTCACCAAGTGTTTCCAATTCTTTTCATATCGCGTGTTTGACAATCAACATGAAATGTTATGCGACCTCATGTGAACCTGATAAGACTCACCTAAGAAGAGTAGTTCATTGTCCTCCATATGCGGGATTACTCAACGGAGATTTAAACGATATGACAGCGAAAAATTATAGGAGGCGTTAGTGACTCTCGCGAACAACTTTCCGTAATCGTATGATATAAATCTCTTTGTTGGTCATATGATTATATGAATATTGATCATCGGAGACAGATTTTTCATCATCATCTTAGGTGGAGAAGGATTTGAATAAGGGCGATAACGACGTTGTTCCTACTGTAGGTAACTAATGGTCTTGCCCGGAATAGAACCTGCGTCCTTTGCATTCATAATCAAAGTGTTTATCTATTAGGCTATTGGACCTGTGAGAGCTTCAAGTTCGGAAAAGGCTCCGAAATCGGAACCTTATAACACAAGTGGGAAGAAACAATTCGTTACTGTGGGAACACATAAGGAGGAAGTGATCGAATGGCAATCTGAGAACAACATCGCTCATCTACAAATTTTACAACGGTGAAATCGCCCAGGAAAAATTAGCATAATCGTTCCGGTCAGGACGGTTGAAACTTACGGAGGTACAAATGACGAAGACTCAAGACGAATAACTTGGCAATTTCTCGAGATGAAGCCTCGAGAACTCCCTCGCACTCTAGTGAGCTCTTCATAAAAATTACGCGGATATTTTTTCCCATCTTAGTTTTCGGCATCGGCAACATTCCCTCTGAATGGTGTAGAGAGGAGTTTTCGAGGTCCCTGGGTGACTCGGAAAAAAGATGCACAACGAGCTTGCGCTAAATACGCTTTAGAGAATATTGAGACGCATTTACCATCGAACGATAGTAAGAGAGAAAATTATTTTCAGCAGTCAGAAAGTTTTTTTCAGGGGAAAAGATGGAGAAGTCGATTCTTGCAAGCCGGGACAACCCAATAGGCGAGGCCAATACAAAATTGCAAAAATTTTTCGGAAAATCCCCCGGAAAATTTCACTGGCGGATCGAAACCATCGCAGTACGGTGTTATCATCTCATGTCAAGGAATGGCCTCACTGTCAGGGCGAGAGTCCGCTGATCTTCAGAGCGATGCTGTGCACTGACTGTCTAGATGGTCAACAGTTTATAGGAATAGCAGCAGATGGGAAAGTGAGAACAACAGTCCCGGGTTCAATTCCTGGCAGAGGCATTTATTTATCAGGAGGCGAAGTTTAATGCAGCTCGGCAGCTAATTTCCTTTCTTGAGAAACAGCCTGCTGTGGAGAAAGAGAAACCTACGAGCGAAGTTGTGTTTTATGAAGACCCCGAAGGGGCTTATAAAAGTGAATAGAAATTATCACTCGTTCTCACCTTGCGTTGAGTATTCAATTCTCACAACAATTGGGATGATTACACAAAGGAGAAGTCCACGCAACGGATAAAGTAGGAGATCTTATTTCGAACTCACTAATTGGTTGCACTTTCAGGAAGAAGTTCCTACATCGACTCGCTCTTCGAATTGGCCCTAAGGTGAGTATGGGTAGTTGATAACATAGAAAAGGTGTATTGGACCGACCGGCGGGTCCTCGAGCATTCGCGCGACCAATTTATATATACGAAAAAAACCCTCTTAAACGACTGCACTTGAGTCTGGTTTTTTGTCTCCATAGTCAATCTGGAGAACTCACTGTTGCATTGTGCATATTCACAGTATGGGATTTCGAAATCTCATTGTAGAACAAGAGAGAAAGCGTGTACATACAACGGCACGAAAGTTCTGTTCGAGTCCTGAATGGAAACGGA